GGCGGCTGGGAAATATTTAATTTTAGAATATTTATTTTTTATTGCTACATTTTTCCAGCGCCTCAATCGCACTCAAAAGTATGTACAAAGTATTTTGTACATTCTCCCGGGCGGCTTAAATGTGTATGTTAATAGTGGACTGTATTAGAAATTAAATGGGTGTAGAACAGGACTGTATAAAAATATTTAGATATTTAGATTTAAAACTAATTTTACTATACTATATATGTTGAAATAATATCAGGTAACCGCTTCCAGGAAACGACTCCAACGTTTAATCCAGCCTCTCTTGCCGATTCCACCACCTTTATCTGCCGGCTTCATTCTCCATACCTCATTCATAGTCCATCGATGCAGACCGCCATCATTCACGTCGGAAAGGATTACCATTGGCTCCATGGTACGCTCTGCTTTGTCGTCTTCTGTTTTTACGGCCATCGATGATTTGCTATTGGTTTCTCTAAGGTAATACCGTTCAAGAACCGGAACCAGAGAACTTTGTTCGGCTTTACCCATTTCTTCGTTGTATTCTTTTCCATATTCGTTGGAAATGAGTTGCAGTTCTCAAAATTAGTTCCACGGAATTGCAAGATTCCGTGGATTGACTCTTGCTTGATATCGCCCATAACCTCTTGTAATATTCTTGCAGAGATAAAACGCAGTAGTTTATTATTTTTTATGGAAGTTTTATTAATTAGAAAACAAACTGAAAAATGGTATGTACACGAAGGAGAATCAAATTTGAAGTAAAGAAAAAATATTTTCTACAGAAATAAGTATGCAACAAAAAATGCAAATGTATGTGATTACAACATTATAAAAAAATTAATGTTCAGAGTGTCACCAACACATGCCGATCCCCTTGAAACATCAATTAAAAAAAAAGTTTATCGCAGAATTGTACAATTTGTTATTGCATTGCATTTATTTTGCAACCAAATTTCAAATAATTTACAATTATTGCATTTTTACTCAAAACAATACACACACATACACAAAAGTGGTACATGTTTTGACAGAATAAGGGCACTAAAAGAAAAAAAATGTATTTAGGGGGTAGTTTTGTTCTACCTTCTGTAATTATGCCATGGTTCTAATAGTAGGTACGGGATGTATAGTGCAGTGTGAGCTGTAGTGATGTATTGTGATGTGTAGGGAATGAAAACGCAAATGAATCTGCATAACAAATTTGGGATCGATATCCGTTACAACGAAATTATGTAATATGAAGTCGCAGATGAATCTGCAGTTACATATTCCGACTTTAATCGAGCTATGTGTTTCCCGAAACAATATTCGAGGGGTGTGAAAAGCTCGATCTGCAGCTGACAACAACGATTTTGACGGAGTCTTTGGAGTCAAAACCGGAATCATTTCAAACAACTATTCTGACTAGTACAAATTACTGGTCTATGTCCCTTTACCAAACAATTAATACAATGACCGTGGCGCAGATGAATCTGAAGTTACATATTCCGACTTTAATCGAGCTATGTGTTTCCCGAAACAATATTCGAGGGGTGTGAAAAGCTCGATCTGCAGCTGACAACAACGATTTTGACGGAGTCTTTGGAGTCAAAACCGGAATCATTTCAAACAACTATTCTGACTAGTACAAATTACTAGTCTATGTCCCTTTACCAAACAATTAATACAATGACCGTGGCGCTTGATGAATGCAAACCTTTTTTCGGGGGATAAATTTAAACCTTGTTCCCACAACAGATTCGTTTCTTTCGGTAAACATTGAAGGCAAAGAAATACCAATATCGTATCCCATTGATCGGTGAGGAGGAACAACGATTAATTCCAAACCTAATCTCATTCAAACCAGGGATTGTTTCCTTGTCGAGATTCGGAAGACAGAATAGATGATGTACCAAAGTTCGGATATCATTTATTTATTATTTTCATTTATCATAATTTATTATTTTCCAAGCGAAACCGAAACCACGATTAGTTAAAGCATATTTTAATCGAATTTCTTGTTATGCAACGATATTTTATAATTTTTCTATTAATTGTTACCATGTACGTAAATAAATGTAAATAGAATCGTTATATTTACTCTCTGCCAAATACAGATATTACTTAGTGACCTTTTCCTAATTTTCTAAGTTTGGCAACGATTTTTTTTATCGATTGTCATCATTTTTCTAGCTTGCTCTTCCTTTCCTCTAGCATATTGATATCTAAATCACCGTTTTATGTACCAAATTCTATCAGAGCGTCAGATCCTCTTATAAAAATTTGTAGAGGAGCGAAGGCTATAATTATATCAAGAAACGCCGAACAATTTCGGGGGAAAATGCAAAAATAAATAAAATAACAATTTTTATTTTATTTTTTCAGATTTTTTAGTTATTTTATTCGACCTTTATTTTAAATTATTTCAATGTAAGTTTAATAAAATTGAGTTCGAGGTCTTTGTTGTTTTTGTTTTATATTATTTATTTATTATTTTCGATATTTCGTCGGTACTTGGCGAAATATTGAAAATGTTTGTTATATGTTAAATATTGTTCCTGATGATGTCTTCCGTGGGAGGACGAAATATCGAAAATAATATATAAATAATATAAAAAACAACAAAGACCTCGAGCACAATTTTATTACACTTACATTGGAATAATTTTTATTTTTATTTATTTAACTTGCCAAAATTACCGCCTGTAGGGTGCATAAATTTCCAAAAGTTCGAAAACAACAACAAAATTTAATACACTATAGTATTTATACTATTCTAACTTTAATAATAACTATAATTTTACACCCAATACCTACTAATATAACAAACAGAGGTGACCGACCAACGTAGTGTAGCTACTCAACCTAAACGGACACGACAGAAATGTAAATAAACAAAAATAATCTTTCTTCGTTTTTTATATTCGTTCACTGATCTAACAAATCACAAACAACAAGTGCTGATCAGAGAACAACGACAAAGCAAGCAGCGATGTTGGTGGATGTTCAAACAGTGTTGTTGTTGTTTGCGATAAACATTTGGAGAACATTTTATATGCCAAAATAATCGTAATGGCTTCCACTTTCATTTGACATTCACAGTTTTTTGGACGTTTTTATATGGAGACTTTCAGATTCAGATTTCCGTCCTGATCACCAGTGGAATATTAGAAAATTGAAAAAATTGTTTTACAAAAAACTGATTTGGAGAACATTTTATATGCCAAAATACTGGTTAGGACTTTTACTCTTATTTGGCTTTTAGAAGGGTTCATAGGGAGGTGTCCCGGGGCCGTTTAATATTCCTTGGGAACATTGACTCGTGGACTTTTTCATTCATAATTATACCCTACAATACTATGTGTGGGGGTATTATAAGTTTGATTGGGCCAAAAATTATGTACCACATCGAATTATCGGTTTCCCACATAGGAAAGTATATATGGATCTTCCTATCTCGCCGAGCTGTGTCGATCTAGCTATATATGTCCGTCCGTCGGTCCATGTAAATTTGTAATCACCCTACAGGTCGCAATTATGGCCCGATCTTCACGAAATTTAGAATGGAGGTGGGGCTAGGGCCAGAATAGAAGCCTATTGGAGATGATCGCATAATTTTTAAGGACTGAAATGGATCAAAACTGAAAACTTTTCTTTATGTGTTTGTTTCTCTGATTTTACAGTTGCTCTATGGGATGCAATTATAGACCAATTGAAGCGGAAGTTAGCATGTGTAGTGGGTGAAATAGACCATAACATAAGAGTGGGTGAAATAGACCATAAAAGTGAATTTTCCATTAAACCGCGAATATTTTTAATCCCACCGAAATCACAAATAGAGGAAAAGGATACCTCTGACCGTTACGTAGATGCCGATAAAAATTAAAGGGGATGTTAGTTAGAATGCTTATATCTCAAGAATGGCTCGACCGATTTTGACAAATGTTGTCAATTCAGAATGCCCTCTTGACATAAAAAATATAAAATCTAAATAATGATACTAATTATCGCATGCGATTTTTTTCAATTTGACATAATATTGAAGTGTATATTTTGTAACATGTTTTCACCTTTCAACACAGGTTGGGGTTATTAAATACAGATTGCTATAATCGTCCGATCCTCACGAAAATTTTGGTAAGGATAGGGTTAGGCTCAGAAGGGCTAGGTCTATTGTTTTCAAAGATGTCCGCAATATATTTAGGGGTTGAAATGGACCAACAACTAAAATATATAAATATTATATTATTAATATTCCTGAATTTGCAGCCGTTATGAAGGTCACAAATAGAAAGCAAAGGACACGAAATATCACATGAAGTTATATTATAGGATAGCGGGTAGCATGGACCTCTAATTTTGTGTGAAAAAATACCAGAAAATACACAAAAGGCGAGCTTCTGGCTTTTCTATGTAGATTTCGTTGACGAATATAGCCAAATATCGTTGACAAGTAAATCATATTTAGATGAGTCTAAATTTGGAGATACAGAGGGGCCTCTTGCTTTTGGAGATAATCGCAAAATATTTGGGGGTTCAAATAAACCAAATACAGAAAAAACTTCCTGATCACACAATTGAAGGAAATCGACACGCCTGTGAAGAGAGTTAAGGACAGAGAAGAATTCTAGCATTTTGGATTATATTTAGCTGTAAAGTGGACCACAACAACTAACAGCACGACGGAGTGCGTTAATATTGGACAAATGTCCGTGGGTAATATCTTGGCAGTGCTCCGTGACATAATTTCCAAAGCGAAATCTTCAAAAATGGATTTGGGCATAAGGGGGTTTTTAACATGTTGTAGGGTATCACATGGTCGGTTCCACACGACTATAGCCTTTGCTTACTTGTTTTATAAATAAATTTTGTTTTCAAATCGGTCCCAGGTTTTTTCTCTGAGGCACAGTTGAAAAAAAGTATTAAATGTGAAATTTCGATGTTCTAAGTCACCCTGTATTTTGCTAGCTTCACGCACCTAAAATATCTTCGACAAACGTTTAATTACCAAATTTAAACATAATCTTTTATATGTACATATGTTCAATGCTGTTCATTTTTGGAATTTGGATTATTCAATTCTAAATGCAGAAGAATAGTTCTTAAAATATTTAATACATAAAAGTTGTGTTCCAGTACTTTTTTAGTAGTAAAACTAGCAGAAGAGAGAACAGTACGAAATGCCATTCTCATTTAGGTGTGCTCAAAAAATAAGGGAACGGAAAATTAGCAGAAATGTGCTAAAATGTCAACATTCAAAATTCCAAAAGAAAACAGTCTAAATCGGACTAGTGAAACCTTACTGAAATGGACGTCAAAATTTAAAAATGAGTATTGAAAATAAATTAAAATTAATAATTATTTTTGAATGGTGTTTATTTAGAAATTTTTGTTTTCAGAATGCGTTGAAGAGTATTTAGAGGTGGAGTTTTCTCAAATCCCAACCCGGAAAAGCTCACATGGTTGGAGGCGCCGGTTAAATTAATGTTAAGTCTGCAAGAAGACTTAATGCTACAAGTTAGGAAGACAGCCAACCTAAAAAATAAAAAAAAAATGTTCGCAGTAATAAGCAAACGACTTTGATTCTAAGCTTAATTTCCAATTTACCTTTTACTAATTTTGCACTGTTTTCCAATACGTTTTCTTCGTCTGATTCCTCATTCAGCCAGTCGTTTTCATTCCTGGAATCATCCAAAAGTGAATACATCAGTTGCCCCATATTTTATCTTTTTGTTTTTTGCACGACAAATATTAATTTTTCTTTAGTTTTTAAGTTTATCTTTTTTCTTAACATTTTGGTGTCACGCGCGAACTTTGAAATGTATCAATACATTTTTCGAACTTGTTAGCCCTGCCAATTAAATGTCAAATTTACAATTTGCACATTTCTGCTCGGCCAAATTCATGTAGCTAAAACAAGCAGAAATGTGCACCACTCAGCGCCATTTTTTGTCGAGAGAGCTGCAAGTTTTGCTAGTTTTTGGAGTACCGGAACGCGTTGTAGCAGAATTAGCACTAATTAGTACTAATTTGTAGGTTCTGGTGTATTCTACATTATGCAATTTAACCCTTTCAGTGTCAATGAAAATTTTTGTCGAGATAAAAATCTGAAATTCCGTACTAATTTACTAAAATGTGCTCAGAAATTCGAAAACGAAAATAATAGAATAGAACTGCAATATTTTTAAATAGCGAACGTGTCTGTTATTAAAAATATCAAAAATAACGGTTCGTAAGAAAAACAAAAAATGGCTAAGAAAGAGAGTACTTTTAAATGTCAAATATATTTGACAAAAACACTGAAAGGGTTAAGAAAACATGAAATAAACGACTATATTACCAAATGTGGTGTCGCTGTTCTTTTACCGCAAAATCAGTTGGCGTTTTGTAAATTATGAGAGTTTTTTTCTATTATTAAGCAAAAAAATATGTTCATGCACTTGCTGTGAAATTTTATATCAAAAAAGATAGGTATGCTCTTTATATATATGTATATCAAGAAATGGAATTTAATTACAAAACGTCATATCGATTTTGAAATGTAGAAAATTCTATACACTAGTTCTTGTTGCAAACTGATTCTTAATAAAGTAATGGCCTAGGAATTTACGTTACGATTAAAACTTTTGAAAGTAACGGAAAGTAAATTGCTATATAAATTAAATCCACCAGTTACATTCGTAATATTGCTTCCGCATAAGCACGTTCGTCCTGTCCTGGTGCAGTTCCGGTTTCGCAGTGTTGGTTACCTCTTCAGTAATACCGCGCATATATTTCACATTGGACCATGTCTCTTTTAAATGCGATACACGGTTACAATGGAATCTTTCGCCCTTATTGTTAGTCTACTCAGGGGCTTTATAACTCTTCTAAAACACTTTTGTAGTCCAGTCTTGTTGTCTGTAGTTGACTTGCGCTTCTGAAAGCAGAAAAAATCGAGCAAACTCAAATTTTCGATGCCGCTAGTCGAATATGAGTGAGTAAATTTTCCCCGTTTTTGAGTGTAAACAAAATTCGTTCAAAAGCGAGCAGATTCTAATTTTGCCGAGCTCTCTTTTAGTTTTTGTTGTTTCGTTGTTGCTTTCATGTATTTGCCGATATGATTTGTATCATGTTAGGATTCCCGTTAAAACGTTAAATATCCGCATTTCTAAAAACATAAGGAATAGGTAAAATTGATGTAGCCGACTCAGATTGGAATGGGCATGGATTGTGAAATTCAACTGCGCTGTCAATCGAAAGATCGAACACGTGCTCTGCCGATGACTAATAATTCGGACAAGATGTTCCTAATCGAAGATATGGTTTTAGTACATTTGGAGTCGATTTAACTATGTCCTTCATTCGTCTCTCTGTGCGTCTACAACAATTGTTGAAATGTTTACTGGTCATTTCAAAAGTGAGCGGCTGGAGAGAGAAATTTTAACAGTCTTATTACTGAACGTTTGTTAATTCTTGCCGGTCAAATTTCTTCGCCTCCTTCCGGGGATTTATATTTGGGAAAACGTCTATATTTTGGAAATAGCAAACTTGATTGTTACAATCTCAGAAAAAAACTGCTGGACCATTCCTGCAGAAAAAGTGAGCAGAACCCCAATGTCTGTCCACACCATTTGGACAATGAATGTTGTCAAATACAAAATTTTGAAAAATTATAAACATATGAAACGTATGACATTACCTTCTTAATTTTACCACAGGCAAGAGCATTGCCTATAAGGTCTTACAAGAACACTACATTTGACAACAATTTGACGATAAACTTAGAAGTTTTTGCACAATTGTAATTTGCCTCTCTTTGAATTATAAATCACAATATGTCTTTGACCGAAAACTTAGTTGTCAGTTCTTACTTACCGAACTTATTGGCGTTATAAAAAAATATATAAAAATGTACCTACCTGTATTCTTCTACCATGGAATGTAGCCATGGTACATTAAAAAGGTAAGGTAGAGCTACTAGCTGATTACAATTTTTTTATTCTTCTGTCAACTTTGTGTATGTATTTATTGTTTTTGAAAAATGAAAAAAAAAAAATTCAAAACCAATTATTAGAGACACCATGGTAGAATAATACAGATAACAGCATGGTACAATAAAAAGGTAAGGTAGAGCTACCAGCTTATTACAATATTTTCTAAGTGTGCACGACTTCGGCCCATTTTGTGTATGTATTTACTGTTTTGAAAAATTGAAACAAAATATTTTTATAACCAATGATGATATTAACCAGATTTACCATCGAATTGCAATATTGAACACTTAGGATCATATTTGTGAGGTAAGATCCATACTTTTCATTCATCTTTTGCGCTATTTGACTCATTTTAAAAATAAACAAATAATATCAAATAAATGAAAACAAATTGTTGCATATAATTTTGAGTAATTCTGACAGGAAGCGGGCATAGCCTCAGGGCTGTATTTCTCTAGTTTTACGAAGCTGTTCTACCTCCTTACTGTACCATGGATAACAGCATGTGTTGTTGTACAACAATCGTAACAACAACCACATACAAATTTGTCAGAGTTATGTGTTCAAAAATGTAAACAAAATAATTAATTTTCAAAAATATACATTTTTGGAATTTAGATTATTAAATTGAAAAGGCAGAAGAAAAGTTCTTAAAATATTTAATTTTAATGCTTTCACATCATTCCCCTGAATATATAATAGTTAGTTGTTTGGTCATAATCTCTCAACACTTCAAGCAATCGCTACAAAATCGAGGAAAAGGCAACATCACTTTCAAGTTTAAACCAAACAGCATACATACATAAAGTATTCAATATTTTGCAATTTTAGGATACATGAAATATACGAATATATTATCTAACGTGGTGTCGATGTTCCTTAACCGCAAAAAAAGTATCCGAACCATCGCCTTTGGCGTTTTGTTAAGTACAATGGCGATTTTTTCTATTATTAGGCATAAAATATGTTCACATTGCCCTGCAGTGAAATCTTATATCAAAAAAGAGTATACCTATTGTATATCAAGAAATGGAATTAAAGCGGCAAATAGACCACACAAATTATTTGCGCAAATTCACACGTATTTAGCACACACACGTTGCAAACGTTTGCACAAATTTCATTCGAAGTAAGTACTCAGCGAGTGAAGTCATTCGGAAAAATGTTTGAGAACGCAGCTATTGCGGTCGCTTTGGCACTCGCCAGTCAAAAATTAACTTCTATTCTTCTTCTTCTTTCGTTGTGTAATGCTTGACTGTTTATCACAAACTGAACAGATTTAGTGCAAACGCACACACGCCACACAAACATTTGCGCAAACAAGCCGAAAAATCTAAATGGTTTTGATTTTTCAGATCGATTTGCACAAACTCGTACGTGTGACACATACAACCTTATTTCACTAACACACATAAGCGATTTGCACAAAAATTTGTGTGGTCTATGGGTCGCTTAAATCACAAAACGTCATATCGAGTTTGACACTAGTGTCAAATCAGCTGGGATTTGATGTTACCTGTAATAATTATACCATGACGCAATAACAAGGTGTTCCTTCAAATTTAAAAAACCAGATAAAATGTCAAATTTCTATTACAATATTTACTCGTTTATGTTTTGTTCTGTGAATTCAATCGCAATAATTTTGATAAAACATTTGGTAGTCAGCTGGCTTGACAATGAAAATTAATACTTGGGCCATAACACGTACATTGCGGCTCGCGCATTAAACCTATTAACCAATTTAGCCATGAAATGGAAAGATTGAACAGTGTGTATCATATTTTTGAGAGAAAAACCAGGCATTTTATTCGTTTTTCGGGCTATTTAAAAATGAGGAAAATTATAAAAAAAATGAAAACAACGTGTTGCATATCAGCCTCAGGGCTGTATTTCTGTAGTTTGACGAAACTGTTCTACCTCCTTATTGTGCCATGGATGTAGCTTGTTCTACCTTCTGGAATTGTGCCATGGGTATATCTATAAGCTTTCGTATGATACCCATAATTTTCAATCGCTTCTTTAAAACCATATATTATCCGGCCTAATATCAGTACTTTCTGACCCCAAAATCAGGATAAAAACATCTACCTATGATAACAATTCAAACACTATCCGAATATAGTCCCTTGGATCAAATTGCTCCAGAAAAGAAAAACCAGTTATTCACACTGAATTATGCAAATCCCAAAATGAAAAACATTGATATGTGGTAACTCTAGTTTCACAGTCTTTTTTTTTTGCAATGGCATTTCTACCGGTTTCTTGGCGATTTGTTTACATTTCTAAGTGGTCTAAAAGCATTAATTTGATTCATTCTGGATGTAGTCGATGGATAAACACAGGGAGAAAGCTTGTCTTTGATAACAATCAAGTAGAACTGGATCTTAAATATTACACCGATTTTAAGAAGATAATTAAATTAAAGAAATTGGAACTTAAAGATGGTCACACGTGCTTTCGAGTTCCCTGCAAACTATGTGTACATAATTCCTTGGGAGATAAATGGGCTTTTGTAAATAAAACTACAGGAAATTTTGTATGTCCAAACTGCGATGTAAAAGTGCCTTTGCTTCAAGCAAAGAACTCTTATGAGAGAGAAAAACCATTTATCGACTGTAATGTGGCTATAAATAATTTATATAAAACAACATGCAATGTAATTACGCAAGTTCCGACAAGCGTGTGTGATGGCTTGCAAATCAAGGGGTTGAAGACAGTAGATTTTGAAATTCTGGAAGCTGGATATGATCCCATTATCCAAGCTTTACAATTTCCACTAAAAAATGTTTCGCGTCGGGTCGTTGGTGAAAAAATATTCTATTTGGAAAATGGCATTGAAGAAACTCACCAGAATCAAAATATTTCTGGAATATTGATATACGAACAAGGGTCAAATCAGAGAGCTGTTGTTGTAACAAACTTGTTGGATTTTTTGGTGCTAATAGCTCATCGAATAGATACACGTAAGTTTTAAAAAGAAAATGCAAACATCGTCATCAAATTTCTTAATGTCTGTTTGCTTACTTTTCATATACAAATTATTCATTTTTTGCTTATATGCGGGCAAGGCCTTTTAATTAGAAGAGAGTAACAAATTTCAACAAAAAGTCGAGTCATGGATCAAACTATTTATAACACAAGACTGCTTGTTGTGCAGTATATTTCTTTTTTGCTTTACCAGAACAAAAAAGGAATCCAAATTTAAAATATGAATGAGTTTTTGAAATGGTAGACCAATCAATATACAGATAACTACATATTTCCAATGAGTACCTATATATGTCCGAATTGAGATCGTTCATTATGCTAGCTGACCCGACAAACGTTGTCTTGCTTATAACTTTTTTCATAGAGATACTTGTAATACGTTGAAGTTATCTTTTAAAGTAAGATATTTATGGAATTGCAATAAAGTAGATTTTGGAGTTCATTTTTACCCTCACCGAAGCGTTCGAATGTAATAATAATATTCAACATTCTGGCATGTTACATATTGTTGTTAACAGATTGGAGATTTTTCCGAAAGTGATGTTCGGTAAGCCGAAAGGGACATTCAGTAATTTTTCAGCAACTGTGGTCACACGTAAAATCGTAATCAAAATTTACGTGTTGGTATATAGATCTATTCCGATCTATAGATCTATTCTGTTTCCTTTTTCATGCGATAATTACGGAATCTTTCCTTTAGTAGCGTCTGGCTTTTACAAAATGGTTTTCGCATTTATACAATTTGATTAATTTATATCCAATTTCAACCGTTTACACCAAATTAGACATGTTTTTAATTAAAAATAGATAAATGTTTTTACTATTTTTTTAATTACTTTCAGATAGTATTGTTTGTCTTCCATATGGCCTTAAAACATTACCCCAAGAATGTTTACCAGCATTGGAAAAATTTAAAGAACTAATTCTTTGGTTTAAATGTGACTCTCTTGATTGGGATGCAGCCAAAACATTTTCAAAAAAGCTTGACGAAAAACGCTGTTTTTTGATAAGACCCACGGACACAGAACCAAACCCTTTTGAAGCGCAACGAAAACGCTTAAGTATTCGTCACATTTTACAAAAAGCCACGCCAGTAAAACACAAATCCATTACAACATTTAACAGTTTGCGCAGTGACATACTTAGTGAATTGCAAAATATTGAAAAAGTAAATGGAGTAAAATGGACACGATTTCCAAGTTTAAATAAAATTCTCAAAGGTCACAGAAAGGGAGAGCTTACAATTATAACAGGTCCGACAGGGAGTGGCAAAACAACATTTATGAGTGAATATTCACTGGATTTAGCATTGCAAGGTGTAGCGACATTATGGGGTTCATTTGAAATAAGAAACGCTCGCCTTGCTTCCACTTTATTAAGACAATTTGTGGGATATTCTCTTGAAAAGAAACTGCATGAGTTTGATCATTGGGCTACAGAATTTGAAAAATACCCTATGTACTTTATGACATTTCATGGTCAGCAACCACTAAAAATGGTATTGGAAGCCATAGAGCACGCTCATTATGTTCACGACATCAGTCATGTTATCATCGACAACTTGCAATTTATGATGGGGATTTCAAGCACATATCGTAATGACAAATTTTGGGAGCAAGATAATATTATTGCTTCCTTTCGTTCACTTGCAACCAAACACAATCTTCATGTAACATTAGTAATGCATCCACGGAAGGAACGGGAGGAAGATGATTTGACAACAAGTTCTATTTTTGGTTCTGCCAAAGCCAGTCAAGAAGCTGACAATATTTTAATCATACAAGATAAACGCTTAACATCTGTAAAAGGTAAGAAATATTTACAAATCGTAAAAAATCGTTACAGTGGAGATTTGGGCATCATGCCATTGGAATTCAACAAAGATGCCTTAAGCTACGCATTTTCTGGACAAAAGAAGAGAAAGGAAAAGGGGCAAGCGCGAGACACAAACGAAGATGCCGAAGAAAATTCTTGAAATATTTATATAAATAGTAATGTTAAGTAGATTAAATAAAAATGTATTTTATATAAATAGGTTTTACAATAATAAAAAAAAATCATGTTGAACTTTGCTTATAATTTTTTATGTTCATTAACTTTTTCCCGCACATAGCACATATTGCTTTTTTGTAGGCACATGCTTGGCAATAATGAGACCCAGCTTGATGTACTTTTTGGCGGCATATTCTACAAAATGAGATTAGAAAATTATAAAATTTGATCCGCATTTTTAGCATTACAAACCTGCATGGAGGTAACGTTTTGCCTATAGGGTTGTATCTATCTTTTGCAGAAGACAACGCCTTGTTCTCATTTATTTTACGAGCTGGTCCTGTTTTCCATGGGTCTGGAGTTGCGACTTTTGCTAGCTTCGCTTCACATTTTTCACACACCATTGCAATAACATTTATTTTCTTTTGCTTGTTTTCAGAACACAAATCTTTCGATTTTATTATGATCTTCTTCTTATCAAAAAAAAAAAAATGCACTCATAGTGAATGATTAGCTACAAAAAAGAGGGGTAGTCTTTTTGTTTTGATTGAATAATGGTAGAAAAATATAGGTTGATGCATGGAAAAATTCAAATTCGGGTGTTTTCAAAATGTTTATTTCGACGTATGCATTGTCAATTTTGAAAAAAAATATTGACCTTTCATTCAGTTTTCGCGGTTTTAAATTATTTGTTCAAAATAAATGCAACAAGTTCTTTGATTTTTTATTGTTTTGATACTAATTCTGCATGGCAGAAGAATACAGGTAGATGCATCAACGCTTGGGAGCATTGATATGTCAAAAAAATTGAAATGTTTTTTAAAATATAAGTAGATTTTTATATGTTTTCTTATTCTAAGTTAGAAGGAGGCTATTATAATTCGCGTTTTTCAAAAATTTTTGCAAATTAAAATAATTTTTCATTCAACATTTTCAATTCCAAAATTGGTTTGACAGTTCATTGTCCCAGCAGCTGTGTCGACGCGACTACCTATATTCTTCTACCATGCTAATTCTGACATTACAAGCCAAACAGGTAGACCTCTATACTTGCATTTTTTTCAAAGTTAACCACCTTCTCTTCATTGTACCATGGGTTGATGCAACAACGCTTGGGAACATTGATATATCAAAAATTTTAATGTTTTTTTTTTTTTAAATAAGTAGATTTTTATATGTTTTCTTATACGACGCTAATTGGGTGTTGTTATGATATGCATTTTTCAACAATATTAACGAATTTAAATTAAATTTTTAATTCAACATTTTCAACTTCAAAATTGGTTTGAAAGTTCTTTGTCCCAGCAGCTGTGTCGATGCGACTACCTGCATTCTTCTACCATGGATTGAATGTATCCTTAATTAGATTGGTTTTTCCCTTTAATTTTTATGTCATTGTTATTATTTTATAATAATATAACAAAGGACAAAGGGAATTGTCACAATTGCCAGTAAGAAAATTTTTGGGAACAACTCTAGTTTAGTAAAATTCTCAGATTTTTGTTTTGAAACCTTTACCAGAAGTTTTTCTCCACGATTTTAGGGAAGTAGCTTTATCCGGGGCGGATAATTTTTGTTTTTGGACCCAGATTTTTAAAAAAAAACCAAGAAATCGATTATTATGGAGCCATCAGCTTACAGTAAAATAGGTAATTTCATAATCTTTCAGATGGCACCCATATTGTCTATATCGTTTTAGTAGATCCGGGTCCAACCCAGGTCTTAGATACGAGCTTTTGGGTAAAGAAAATTCTACGTTTAATGCTTTAAGAATTAAAAGAGAATATATATTTCGAGTCTTGCTTTTTCGATTTTTATTCAAAGTAAAATATTTATTTTATATGACAACCACGGTGCAATCAATACAATCATTACAAAGAAGGGCAGATTGATTAAAATTGAAAAAAACCTAACTATGAAGCCAGAAACTTGTAACTTCAAATTTACTAACTAAAATTGTCATTGTTTTGTTAATTTAACACTTTTCTCAAAACATTTTAATTGTATGGAAAATAGCGAAAAAAAAAAAATATCAAACGCGTGGGAGTTTTCACAATATTGAGCTACTAATATGATTACAATTTTATTTCATCCCAAAACGCAAAACTTTTCTCCCAAAAATTTGTAAATCATGGCTCAATACATTTTTCTGATAGATAAAAAAGTGATGTTGTCGGACACATAAACCGTTTTTCGTTATTACAAGTTTCATTTAAGTACGAACTGTCTGATAAGCAAAAGGTCAGACCATATTTTATATTGATAATATGGCAATAACAGCAAAATTTATTCAAAGTAAAGTAAAATTTTATTGAGACTCTTCTTCTTATCGATAACACAATTTTCATGTATAGGGAATGATTAGACTAGTTAGAACTATAGATGTCTTATTCTAACACATTAAAAGTGATATGCTACATTGCAACCATGGTAGAAGAATATAGGTAGACGCAGCTGCTGGGACAATGAACTGTCAAACCAATTTTGGAATTGAAAATATTGAATGAAAAGTTATTTAAATTTGTAAAAATCGTTGAAAAAACACGCATTAAAATAACCTCCACACGACGTTGTATTAGAAAACATATAAAAATCTACTTACATTTGAAAAGAAACTAAAATAATCTTGACATATCGATGCTCCCAAGCGTTTATCGATGCTCCCAAATAACATTAATATTTGAGTATATATGTGAAAATATATGTGTGAATGTGAAAAGGCTTGCTCCCGGCCTGTACATTAGCTGACAGAGCATTTGACCAATTATAAATAACCTTAAAACAAAATAACAAAAACAATAACAAGTCTGTTTAGGATATGACAAACAGAGGTCCTTACAAAGGTAACCAGAAAATGGTTAAAAACAAATTGAACAAAGATAAGTTGAATAATTAATTTGATTTGTAAATATCACAGTAAGTATAGATTTTGGTTAGTAAATCGATCGCTTATTAAGATAAGCTTAGTGTAAATATGTTTTAATATATCAACGTAAGATTATAATTTTACTAATATTATTTAAGTTTTATTTTCAGGTGCGAATAAGCAGCTATTTTTAGCCTCGATGTGTTCCAGGGTGGATTTGGAGTAGAATTGGCATTGTCCTTTCCGGTGGAATATTATAGTTTTCGTTGAGAATACCAACAGGCGACAGGTAAGGTACATTGGACCATGATATAGCATTTTCAGATTAAATGAAACCTTTTGCAATTCAAATGGGTCTTTTTGCAGTGGAATTGAAATCTTTTGCAGTGGAAATGAAACCTTTTGAAGCGGAAATGAAACCTTTTGCAGCGGAAATAAAACCTTTTGCAACCGAAATGAAACCATTTGCAACCGAAATGAAACTTATTTTTCCTTCTATAAATTCAAAAGTTTCATTTGATTTGCAAAAGGTTTCATTTAATCTGAAAATGCTACATATGCTTTTCACGCTCATATATGTCTTTTATTATGGAATTTTCATGTGTGACGAGTTTATCGACGAAGAGTTTTTGAAGTTGAAGGGCGTAAGGGCTGGACTGCTGAAACTTCATATATGAAACTGTTGGAGTGCATTTTTGTGGAATTTTGGTATTTTTCCCAACACGTCTCAATATCTTTCTTTCGAAAACTTCTATTTCCGTTGCCACTGTTGGGGAAATAGAGAACCATATTGGAAATCCATACACGAGAACGGAGCGTATTGCAACTTTGTAAAGAAGCATCTTAGTTTTCTGAGGTAAGTATTTGCTATTGAATAAATGTGCAAACAATCCAACATACTGTTTGGTCTTCTGCAGGGTATTTCGTCCAAGTAGATTAAATTTATGTAGCTTATTAAATGTGATGCCAAGATATTTTATACTCGATTTGAAGGGGATTTCTATTCCATCTAAAACAAGTTGAAGCTGTTTACTTTGGGCATTTTTCGGAAGCATTTTTTATGCAAATGGCTTCGGACTTGGCTGCGTTGATCTTTATTCCCCATTTCTTACAAAATTGGTTTATCACTTCCAGGTGAGTAAAAGCATAACTTAGAGCTCGTTCCGGGGATAAATCATGAGCATAAATCAAGCAATCTTCTGCATACAGGATTGCTTTTGAATAGTTTGTTGTGTCAGGAAAATCATTGAGGAAAATGTTGAATAGCAGTGGAGCCAAAACGCTTCCTTGAGGAACTCCGCTCCAGACTAATCCATGTCTTGATTTTTGCTATTGATTTGGACAAAGAACTTACGATCCGAGAGATAGTTATTTATAATGTTGACAAGAAATGGATCGACGCTTAAGTCAATCAACTTGTAGATAATTCCTTTGTGGCAAACGGAGTCAAACGCCTTCTCAATATCTAAGGATATTGCTACTGTACAGATTTGATTTCTCAAATTTGTCGTGATGTCACTATGGAATTTGAGAAGAGCGTGTTGTGTGAAATGTTGTATCTGGAAACCGAATTGAAAATCTGATATGGGGTTGATAATGAATTCTTTTTTCAGCTTCTCTTTCAGAATATATTCAAAAATCTTTCCCACGTTTGATAAAAAAGAAATTGGACGAAATTCAGTTACAAGATCGCTTCTTGGCTTCTTTTTTACCGGGATTATTTTTGCTTCTTTCCATGATTGAGGAAAATAACCAATGTTTATGGAGTAATTAAAAAGGCATGTTAAAATTTGTATGGCCGTATCTGGAAATTTCCGCAATACGAAGTTGGATATGCCGTCGACGCCAGATGACTTTTTAGAGTTTATTTTCAAAATAATAGACCTTATTTTCTCTGAGCTGGTGAAATTATATTCATCCGAATTGTTATTAGAATTAAACTGACTGTTGAATGAGTAAATGTGAGGTGGTATTGAAGATATAACAGATGCCGTTCGTAAGTGAAGATCATCAACGGGTGAATCGGGAAACGATGAGTAGTGTTGATGAAAATGATGGGCTATTTCAGACGAGTTAGTAACTACATTATTGTCAACCTTAATTTGGTGACAGAATGGTGATTTTTTCTTAAAACTGGTAGATTTCCTTAAAAGCAGATGGTCCAGGTTTTATATTTTGTAGACGTGAATTAAATTGTTGGGCTTGCTCTAAAGCTATTGATTCTTTAATTACCTGTTACCAGTATGATGAAAAATTTTCTTTAGTTCTTTTTGCCATTGATGTTTTATCTTATAAAGTCTTTTTGATCTTTCAGAAAGGGGAAATTTTCCGTTGCTGACCGTTATTTTTTGTGAGTGGATATCGTGTACCGAGTTATAGCAGGAGTTAAAATGCTGAATTATAACATCAATATCTTCATTTTCTAGGTTTGTGTCTGACGATGGTAATGTATGCTGTACTAAGGAGTCGAAATCTGCTCGAAAATTGTCCCAATTGGTATGTTTGTATGAAATAAATGTTTTTGGTGCATTTAAAATTTCTGTACATTCCAGTTTCAGTGCTAGTTTTAATGGAAAATGATCGGAGAATGTTGGTAGAGAAGAGATTCTGAAGTTGGGAGAAAAGAAGTCAACTAAATTTGGACTGATTAGGAAATAGTCTAGATATGATGGACCATTCGGGTAAGAAGGAGATGAGTCACAAATACGTTTTACATCCAGTATATTATTTTGCAGTCATGAGTTTAGTGTTTTTCCATTTGTATTCTCCACAGAGTCTCACCAAGAAGGACTTCTCGAGTTGAAATCACCACCCAGGATAAAACCATAGAAATTTGAACATAGACGCAGTATTTTTTCCAAATCTGACTCCAGCTACAGTGAAGGATAGTTGCAAGGAATATATATGGATCCCAGGGCATATATTTTGGACAAACCATTATGTTTTGCTACTATTTGTATTATGTAGATATTGACTCTCACGTCATTTGTAACAATTCTAGTATAATGGATCGATCTTTTAATAAATATGGCGACTCCAACATTTGAGTGATCAAAAATAGCATTATATCCCTCGCTGTTTGCAATTCTGTTCCTCCTCAGGTGACATTCTTGTATGAAACCAACCTCAATATTATTGAAAAGAAAAGTTTTTGTTAAGTCAATTTGTCTGCTTTTATCATTGAGTGATCTGACGTTGAATGACAGTAAATTTAGGATTCTATGGTCCATATTGTTGACGAACTTTATTTAGAATTCGTAAGAATTCTGCCTTTGCTTTTGTTTTCTCCATATTCTTGAAGCTATGTAAAAATGCAGAGACTTCCTCTGGTTCATTTCCTCTGGTTCCAAAAAATAATTGGCAAGGTTTAAAAATTCTTTAATAATGGATGGTTTTTCCTTTGAGTTTGTGTAAAAGCAGCTTGCGAACGACTTTTGTGGTGCGGCGAATGGCATGTTAATAGTTCTGTTTACATTCTTGGAAGCGATGACCTTCTCTTCACGCACTTTGGCTATATTTCTTTGTTTAGTATCACTATATTTTTTATATGTAGGACATAGCTTCCAGTTTGCTGGGTTTCCAAAAGTATTGCAAAAGGGTTCTGAGGTGTCCGTACGCACTCTTTGACATTCATCTGGTGCGGGAACTTTATCACATTTTACGCAACTGTATGCAGAGTTGCAGTTCTTGGAGATATGGCCCCATCGTTGACATCGATGACATTGTACATCACCGTCTTTTCTCTTGGGTTTTTCCCAGTAGATGTTATGTGAAAATAACTTTGAAACATGAAAAACGTCTCCTAAGCTCTTGCCTGGAACTTAAGATACCAAAAATAGTCCCGTGTCTACGCCATTTTTAACGGAATTTGGTGTTGTAAAATTTGTCACGGTTGCAACCGTATTGGGTACAATTCATACTTGATTTCAAGAGGGTCTTTATATGAAAACTGGCCCCTCAAGACAAGACCAACCTGTTTCATTTCCCTAGGGGTGAACGAGTATGAGTGAATTTCTTTAGCTCTCAAGATTGCCATCATCCAAGAATGAACTTTAGGATCCGCAAAATAAATCTTGCTTTTATGATTATTAATGTTTTTTATTTTGAACTCTGAATCCTTAATTGTGGCTCTGAGAGATTCAGCAAGAGCTTTTATGTTCACATTAAAAACAAATATTGGTGGACACCATTTCATTTTGTTGGTTGTTGTAGCACTTTTGTTGTTTGTGGCTTGCGTTTTATTAGTTGCAGTGGGACATTGTATATCAACATTTTCCAACACGCTAAGAATTCCGAATTTATTTTGATCATTTGGGTTATGATCAGCCAGTTTCTCTTTTAGATCAGAGATATCTATGTCAAAGGATGACCTGTTTTTTTTTTTCAATTCTCATTCTTTTGCGATCGTTTGTTTGGTTGGGTTGTGTTGTTGCCTTGAATGTTGAAGCAACAATTTGTTGTTTTGTGGAAGTTGACGCCACCTCTTCAACCACTTCAAAATCCATGTCTGGTAAGGTTTCAGGTTTGAAAAAAAATGCAATTATGACACCTGAGTGTTTATATTTTTCAATAAAATGAATTATTAAAAAAAATTCAATTTATTCAAATAGAAAAATGAATAACGCAAATCGTTTATTTTTTATTGAAGAACTGAATTATCAATTTATTACACAAAATTTTTATTTCACCAATTCGCATTTTGTTTATTATTTTTAAACTAAAATTAAGATGCCATTGTAAAAAATGCAGTGAATACCAATTACTTTTAAAAACAGATTGCCATATCTCTGTAAAAAATGCATATATTTTAAAGGAACGATGTAATAATGAGAACCCGATAATGTGAACTTTATACTTCACTTTTCCTAAAGTAAGGAATAACAAAAGTGGACTATAATGAAAGATATAAGAACGGGCCATAAACAAGTAATAGAAAACATCTGATTGAATGTCGATGAATGAGAAGAAAGTTGGCCAGTGATCGCAAGAAGAAATTTGTTCAGCAAGAATTTGCAAACTCTCACTGAAAGAACTGTCAAAATTTCTCTCCCCAACCGTTCTCTTTTTTGCAGATCTTTCGGGTTGACAGACGTCTTCCATTAAAAATTTTTAACAATTGTTACAAATTTTGGGGTAACCAGACACACATTATGACATTTAAAAATCCAAAATAGAAAAATTTAATGAAATTAAAAAAAAAAAAAATTGGGAAGACTTATTATTATGAATGGAAAATACAATATTGAATGGCGTATGTACATTCAAACGGAAGTAACTTTTGTTTTCTCTCTCATCCGAGGTACGCATTTTGTCCACGAGTTGACATTTCCATAGAAAGCTGTAAACAAATGAGGCAATATTTTCAAAATGTTTGTATCGTCAGAAAAAATGGTTGGCAAGTGAATTTAAAAATAGAAAAATACAAAAATATGTTCAAAATGTCAACATTTACACCAAAATTTGAAAACATGAATGAAAATTGTAAAATAATGACATAATACATCTTGGGGAAAAATAACAATACTCTCATATTAGTGAGAATATCATGTATTTTCGTATAAATTCCAATTAAAATCAATAAACAAGTTAAAAAGCAGTAAGTTCGGCCGGGTCGAACTTTGAATACCCTCTATCATTTGGAACAAACTTGGAAATTTTCAAAAATTAAATCCGTTAAAAATTCTGTTGAAATCCTAAAAAACGAATACATTGACCTACATAGACTTGAAATAAACGGTGAATAATGTAGCTAAAATCATCAAAATACCGTATATAGGGAGCTACCGTTATATCGGAGTTATACGAATACCTGGATCTGCATAGACTATTTTCTGTCATTTTATTATTAATTATGAATCGTGCGGTATGAACGGGTTAATTCGTGTACCTAACTCTGAGAGCGAACAACATGATTGAAAGTTTAATGAGTACACGACGTTTGTTCCCAAATTACAGATAATAAAACAAACTCAAAACATTCTGCGGAGCTTAAGTTGCCGTCCAGCAACATTTTCAATTATTCTATTATTGGAAATAAATTGGAACCATTGTGGAAAAAATGCTGGATGAGTTGCAAAACAACTTACCATTGAATAAGCGATAAGAGTGGACGAGACACTCACTGCATCGCCTTGGTCTGTACCCAACAGTCGATTGAACAAGCAAGAAGAGTGGACAAGACACTCACTGCATCACCTTATCTCAGTTTCGGACAGCGGCCAACCCAGTATCTACGTGTTTGTGTTTGTTTATTTTTCTGCATTGGGAACAGCATATCACGGAATGCTTGCTCCGGATTTTCTTGGTCCATGCCGGGATTGAGGAAAACCCCGGACCTTGGTTCTGCTCGGTTTGTCAGAACGTCATCCACCACAGATCTGTTTCGGTGCGATGTAATGGATGTAGAGAATGGGTGCACTCCAAGAACTTTTCCGGACTAAGGCATTTGCGAGACTATAGCGAAATGGATCATGTTGCGACGTGCTGCAATAACCAAGCTAAATAAAAATTGCAGTCTACAACGTTGCTATGGTTACAACGTACTTAGGAAGGATTGCAGCAGAAGTGGCGGTGGGTGTTTAGCGTTCCTGTTACACCAGTGTGTTTAGTACAGACCTATCTCGCTTGAGCTAGTCTCTAGTGAGCTAGTCTTTAGAACTGCCCAACCCTTCTGATATTCCGGTAACAGAAAGGATATTCCGAAACATCTTCAAAGCTGCAGCAGCTCGCTATATACTTGCTGGGGTGCCTTCTCATGACACTAGTGGACCATCTACATGAGAAGCCGAAATTCCTTCCCTTACGTCAGCATATTATATGCTTTCGTTGCAGTACCTGCTTGGGTGTTGAGAGTCATCCCAACCATCATATGGTGGATACAACTCCAACACCCAAACGTGTCAGGAAGGACCTGCATGATCTAGAGAGAAATCATACAGAGAGAACCTCTAGATCATGAAACCTATCAGGCAGGTCTGATGCAGTCGCGGGTGGTATCAGCAGCTATAAAATTAATGCCGTCCTCGGAGTCCACCCCCATCTATTGCAGCGGAAGAACGCTAGCTGCCTAGACAAACCAGGGTAGTATTGGCGCAATTATGTTCAGGATGGTGCAGTCGTCTCAATTCATATTAAGCATGAACTGATGAAGATATGCGTGACGTCTTCCTGGCGTGTGATACAGGCCCGCACAATACGCTGCACTTCTTTAATTGCACAGCCAAGCCTACCTAACTCACTCCAGAAGATCTCTAACTACAGCCCAAACAAAGTAACCGAATTTTTAAACGTGGAGCTGAAACCAGATTAGCAGAACGCAAACACTCAAATGTGCTACTGCTACAACAACAACAAAGATTTCAGCTTATGGTTACAAGAGGTAGCGAAATCTGTTTCTCTTTCCCTCGAAGTGGATATCGGTAGGGCCGAATTGTCATGCAACAAAAAGGAAAACAAAATAATCCTTAATTTACAATCATTTCTGAGGATAATCGTCTTACCAAAAGTCCTATGTGCCAGAACGATCACCAATTGTTTCATTGCCAAAAGTCCAGGGAAATGCAGGTAAATGGTAAATGACAATTTGTGAAGTATAATAACAAGGTAGATTTAACAGATAATCGCATCGGCGAATTGCTACAACAAAGCAACTTTTGTGGTACCCTCAAATGTCAAAATTGGCGTCTAAGGCGAAAAACATGCATTCGCCATGACATTTAAAGTTTGCGGCAAATTCGTTTCAACCAATCAGAAACGAGGTGTTTGTTTACATTTTATGTTGTGTGTGGAAATTAAGGCAAGCAATAATACGACTCTCAGGGACCATTGTAACAGCCCCAAGTTGATAGTAAACCTCCGAAATGTTTTTAAAACCCCTACAACTGTAATATCTTCTACGTCATCGACAAATTAGTGGTAATATGTCAGCTATTGTCGGTAACGGGAGGTTACTCCGACTCCAACACATGGCACAACAGAAGCAAGTGTTTCCGATCAAAAGGTTTTAAAGAAAGAACATAGCACCAATATCGCCACCACTAAAAGCCCTCTTGGTAGCAGAGCCGATGCAAATTCCCAAAACCATACAAAGAGTTTTCACAGACCACAGAAAGCTGGATGAGCTGGGGCTAGTAGGAGTTTGGATAATACCAACTGAGTCATAGCTCTCGTGACTCAGGGTATTTCTTATTGCAAATGGAACACTATTTCATTTTCTTTTTAATTTTTTTGCTGGTAATTCACTCTAAACTTGCTCTTAAATTTTGAAACATCCGAAAAAAAAATTAGTGAAGAAGACATAAACAAACTTTGTTTTTGTGTTGCATTTATTTAAGGCGAATTCAGAATTACAATAACTTGTTTTGACATTTAAAGGTGCTGTCAGCTGGGGTGATGCGAATACCTTGTAGATCTACCTTGTATAATCACTTATATTTCGTCTTATGTGTCAAATTGTACTAAATGTAATAATAGTTTATTACATGAACAGAAGGAAAGAAATAAAAACAAAAACAGTAATGCAAATGAGAATGATAACACCTTGGAACTCAAATACGTCAAAATCAGATAATTGTCAGGACAAGAACACAGCAAGTCGTCTATATAACAACAGTAAGACAAATGAAGAGAACACTAAAAACTATGTACACACGATAGTGGAATATTTTTTATATAGGGGAACACCACCTGCCGGTGGAATTAACAAGCACAAAGAAAAAATAAAGTTGTTGCCTATATAGACGGTTGCAGATAAAATTGGTTTGCAAGGAACAATTAGTAATTTGCGACTAAGTGGTAAAACCAGTAACGAGGTTTCTAAAAAGGTGAATATGGAGATTAATGGAACCGGTGAAAATATGTACATCTACGACATGAAGAACGTTTGGACAACAATGAATTTAAGGATTTCCCCACAAAATCTGATATTAAAAGATTTTTATGTGGAGGATTATTCCGATGCTTGGTTTTATATGGCAAGACTTATGAAAACTTCGGTCCTTCTTACTCCCCCTTCTAAAGTATTGAATTTAGTTGAAGTTGATATTTTAAACAATGTAAACAAACAAGTTTTAGAAATAAAGGTAACCTCATTTCAAATTAATTTACCTTGTCAAATTTCAATGCATAAAAAACAGTTCCCATCTCTGATTTTGTGTGTATACAATGGATTAATGAATATAGATTTTAACAATGAGATGTAGTCAAATGTATAAATTTGAAAAAAATTGTGAAAATATGATTGCATGACTTTACCTTCTTAGTTTTACCATGAGTTTAGGATGTGGAGGCAGTGTTTTTAGCCGACTATAGAACAAAGGATACACTAAACAACACGACGGTCAAACCAGGGCTCCGATCTTCTTTAGAAGCATGATGAATATGAAATAAAGAATAGTTACCCTATGGCGTTAAAACGTCTTTATAATATGAAAGCCAAAATGAAGAACGATAAGAATTTGGCTGAATAGTATGAAAATAAAAATTTTTGCGCCCACTATTTTGGTTTATCTAAAATCCTTATATCAGCCAAATTAATGAAGATATAGTTTTGAGAATTATTACACGATATACTGTTGGCATTCCATCCAACCGTAAGTATTTATTTAGGGGCTGAGGAACGCGCCTACTTTTAAATCTGTCCCTTTATATGTAAAAGAAAGTTATGTTAGTTACTACGCTTATAACATAAAGACCGCCGGTCTGATTTTAACGATTCAGACAAATTTGGAATTGCCTCTTGGCAGAAAAGCATAAAATCCAAAAAAATCGCGTAAAAATGTGAAATTTTGAACATTTTCATTTTGACTTTTAAAATGTACAATAGTAATGTTTTATTTTGCGTGATTTTTTTTCATTTTAACTTACTATTTTCGAATGTACATTTGTAGTGTTTTTTTTTTGTTTTTGGAATTATATATGGTGTGTAGTTTTTTTGGGTAGTATAAAGCGACAACGGATAAAACTGTTATTTATAGATTTTATATATTTATTGGGTAATACGAATAATATCATTTCAGAAGAGAATAAGATATGAAAATTCTAAAATCGGGAAAAATATAAAATTTTTCAATGAAATCGAATTTTAAAATAATAGTACATTCTACAGACAAACTTCATAAGGACCTTTAAAAATTTGCCGTAAAAAAAATCAGCGAACCAGTTGAAGATTATTTGTCTTTTTTCAATCCTTTCTTTTTTCTATATTGATGTGTACATTTCTTATTGTTTTCAATTCTGAATGAAAAATATTAAAAATGAAATGAGTTTGTAATACGATGTTAAATGGCGATCTTTCATGTATAAAATTGGCATCTAGCTTTCAACGCCAGGACCTTCAGCTGAAAAAAATGGACCAGTTTCTTTCATATGACAATTATTCGTCCAATGAGAACTCAAAATGCAAAATACATTGGGACTGCAATCCGTGAAATACCGACTATAAAGGACGCTGAATAGTAAAGCGAATTCCTTCCAGTAATGTTTCCAAACATTCAAGATACCTTTAATCGCTTTGGCAGGTCATGATATGGGTCATAATCCCCGATAACGGGACAACCCGATTTCAAGTATATTCTACATTTTAACCATATTTTTCGTACTAATTTTACCTTATGTTGATAATTAAAAGAAAAACCATCATTGCAAGAAATGATCACGTTTTAGTATCACCATCATATGATTTAAGGTATTTTCGGGGTCTTGGCCACTTTTTCCATTTTTGGCCCTTATTTGACACCTTTGTTTCTAAGGGGGAAGAAAACCTCTTCTCATAATTTATTTTTTTTATTTATTTTTCGGAAAAGGGCCCATCTTAGTCTTGAGGCTACATTGGGTAAAAAACCCTGAGGTAGAAAACCATCTTACAGATAATTATCCACACATGCATTTATTTAAGCATAGTCCCTACATTAGTATACCCCCAAGTCCATTTTCCCAACCAATGTGTGGTCACAAAAGAAAATTTGGTATTCTATTGAGTTTGTAACCCCCAAGAGAATATTGGTTGGGAACGTAGATTTGCGTCTATATGAAATAAATTCCTAAATGTCAATCTGGGACTTATTCAGTCGGAAATTGTGGCAGAAACATGAAAAAATACGAAATTAGAAAGTAAAACGAGACCGAACATTTCTTCAATCGTCATTGAATTACACTACGATGAAAAATGTGGACTTTATTGGATCTCCATCGCACAATTTAAATGACAAAAAATTTATGCCCAAAAGAGTATTTTTTTTTTTGGATATTCTGACAACATTCTACCTTCAAGCAGCACGTGATTTTAAACGTTGGAAATACAAATTCGAAATTATAGATCATTTGAACGAAAATGTTAAGCTTTTTACAACAATAAAAATTGAGCACATTGGGCTATTATAGATGTTCTTTATCATAAAGGTATTTAACACAAAATTTAATTTCTATATTTTAGAAAATTGTGCCGCTTACATAAGTCAGATCTGTGATTTATTATGCTTTAAAAAATACGCATTAAAGACTAAAAGTACGGGCCGGCAACGCGGACCGGGCCAGCTAGTAGATATATAAAAATTGTGCACATGTTTTGATATTACAGGCCACCATAAAAAATTATTCAGGTTTGTTTTCAGATTTTATGCCTTACCTCAGGTACAATTATTACAAGGTAATGCAGAATGATTAAATTTGAAAACACAACCCTGAAGCTACAGTCAAATCTACCAATAACAAATGCAAGAAGTTCTTTTTTTTATTTTACACCTTTCTCCCATATAAAAGAAAATCCCAAAAAACGATTGATATGCCATTTATTTTTTCAGAAAATCGCGTTACTAATCAGTAATATAATAATGCAATCCTTTTCATCCCAAATCGGAAACATTCGTTCTTCCCAAAAGCTGCAATATAAATTTAAATTTCAACAGAATTTGAAAATGTTTTGAATTATCTTATTTATTATTCAACAAATGTTATTATGGCTCAATAAGAAGGGTTGTACAACATTATAGCAACTATGAAAATTAAACTCTGTTTAAACTTCTGTTTAATTTTTATTGTGTCAAATAGACAATTATACATTCGATAATTGGATTTGTTTACTTTATATTTTTTTCATATAATTCTTCTATTGAGTCTTGGTAGAATTTAGAAGGTAATGTCATGCAATCATATTTTTTCAAAATCATTCATTTGACATTTCATTGTAAAAATGTTTATTGTACATTTACAAATTATAGATGGAAATCTGAATTCTATGCAGTGAAATTTGACAAGGTAAATTACAGGAAATGCAAAGATGGGAATGCTTATTTGAAATAATTTTACCTTCTTAATTTAACCACGTATTGAGGAAAGAACCACTAAACATGAATAAAATGTTGGTGTTATGCCACAACGGTCAGTCCAAAATTGAAGAACAATATTGTTTTATGCCAAAATTGCACAGTTTGTTATATGTTGCATCTTAATTTGAAATAATTTCAAATTGCTTTTATTAGTTGTGTTCCAGAACCTACAAATTAGTACTAATTAGTACTAATTCTGCTACAACGCGTTCCCGTACTCCAAAAACTAGCAAAATTTTCAGCTCTCTTGACATTTCAATGTTCGCGCGTTACAACAAAAATAAAAAAATAATCAACTTAAAACTAAAGAAAAAACTAATATTTGTTGTGCAAAAAACAAAAAGAGAAAATATGGAGCAACTGATGTATTCACTTTTGGATGATTCCAGGAGTGAAGAGGACTGGCTGAATGAGGAATCAGATTATTAATTTTAATTTATCGTCTTCAATACTCATTTTTTTTTAATTTTGGCGTCCTTTTCAGTAAGGTTTCACCAGTCCGATTTAGACTGTTCTCTTTTGGAATTTTGACATTTTATCGCATTCCGTTCCCTTATTTTTTGAGCACACCTAAATGAGAATGACATTTCGAACTGTTCTCTCTTCTGCTAGTTTTACTACAAAAAAGTACTGGAACACAACTATCATTACAAAAAACAATTCACACACATATACGAACTGTGCGTATTTTGACAGAATAGGGGTACCAAAAGAAACAAAATGTTTTCAGGAGTTAGTTATGTTCTACCTTCTGTAATTGTGCCATGCATGTTATGACATCACAAGACTACCAAAAGAATAAATTGGAAAATTTGTATTCGCCAAACGTGTGGATACATAAGCAGCTTGGCATCATAGCTAGGCATATTAACATTAAATTATATTATATGAAAAAAGGTGGTGATATGTCACAAATATGCCATGCGAAGACTCCAATGACTTCATGCATGGTAAAATGAAGAAAGTATCGCCATGCAGGGCTTGATACTATTTTTGAAATGAAGTTATCTTGATTAAATTGTACCATGGATACAATATAAAGGTATGATTTATACGATTTGTGGCAAGTTTGTGTTTGAAACCATTATTTGAAAAAAAAAACAAAGAATTTTAAATCAATATTTAGAAGAAACGAAAAATTACAAGTGGCTCATAAAATTTATAAAAAAAATCTTGACATGGAATTCATTTATCAAAAGGTTTGGAACATAACTTGGAAAGAAGTAAGCAATTTCATCATCTTTTACCCTTTTTAACTTATTTTTAAATTGAGAAAAATATAAAATATATAATAACTACTTGCTGCATATAATTTTGAATAATTCTCACAGAGAGCGGCCATAGTCAAAGGGCTGTATTTCAGTAGTTTTGTGAAGCAATTTTACTACCTTTTTGTACCATTGTGTAAACAAAGCAAAATATATAGGTTATCCCTCTTCTTCTATATTTTGCGACATTACTAAGATGTAGAAATAAACTCGAAAGAGAGATAAGATAAAGTAAGAGATAAATACTTACATAAGTACATACCATGGATTAACCAACATTGCTTTATCAAATTTTTAAACCAGATTTACCATACAAAAATATATCTTTTCACGACGGGATTTATTTTAAATCCAGCGCGGAACCTGCATATTAACGGAAATCATCACTGGGTACATCATTAGTTCGGCGTTAATACTGCATTGGAACAATAACAAAAAAACTTAATGTTTTTTCCTCATGATAATGCTTTGGAAGATGCATTTTTTCAGAATCTAACCAATGTGAATAAACACTCATTTTTCAACATCAATGGTCTCTACATTAGTTTTTTGATACATAATTTTTGGCTATTTTGGCATTCTCTTTTGTTGTGTAAACAAGCTATAGCTGAGCGGCATTTATATCCTTCTAAGGGTGTATCTAAACACACCAGGTTAACCCACTGGATCTAGTACCATACATGACAAAATTACAGAAGGTATAACAAATGCCATTTTTATGTCCATATTCTGTCAAAACATATACACAGTTTGTAAACGTGTGTGTTTTGTTTGGAATAAGAATATAAAAAATTTAAAATAATTTAAAATTTAGACGCAACTGATTAAATATTAAACAAAATTATTAATTTTCAATAAATTATTTTAATTTCAAAAATATACATTTTTGGAATTTTAGTTATTATCAAATTGAAAATGCGGAAGAATAGTTCTTAAAATATTTAATTTTAATGCTTTCACATCATTCCCTGAATGTATAGTTGTTAGCTCTTGGTCCTAATCTCTTAATACTTCAAGCAATCGCTAAAAAATCGCGGAAAAGGCAACACCCCCTTCAAGTTGAAACCAAACAGCATACATACATAAAGTATTCTACATTTTTCAATTTTAGGAAACATGAAATATACGTACATATTATCTAACGTGATGTCGTGATTGTCCTTCTATATTGGATTCAGTTTTGTGGAAAAGCCCCAATATTTCATTCATGTTTGTGGGTTTTCCCCAATTTAGTAATTTTGTGAAAAAATGGAAATAAACAAAGCCAATTGTTGTATGTTTAAAGGTCTATTTGCCACAATAAGGCAATTGAACAATCTTTCTTATTGAGCCATGATATGGTATCACCTCGCCATGATATGGCAACTCTTACGCTGTCGAAGTTTGTCAACGTTTTCATACTTTTTCGGTTGGTCTGGTTGGTAAGTACATTTCTTTATGATATCAAAAATAATGCAAAAACTGTATATTCTTGCAGGTTCTGGCTTGAATCAAAAGCTGGTTGTGTCAAAATATATAAAATGAAATGTTCAGTAAAAATTAACTGATAAAATATAAAACGTCGTTATAATATCTATATATAAAGGAAAGTTATATTAGTTATTAAGCTCAATAACGTTTGGCCATTTCGGAATGGTCTCTTGGCAGAAAAGGGTAAAGTAACACAACCCACCGCTCCCCGCAAAAAAAAAAAATAAAAGTACGCCAATAAAATTTGGCAATATTTGGTTGGAAGATCAAAATTCCAAAAAGATTTTGGGTTGCCAGATCAATATAATATGTAATATTTTTAATAGCTATTCGTAGCTATTTTCATAGTAAAATTAAGGAGATAAAGTCATTTCAAATAAGACTATCCATCTCTGCATTTTCTGTAATTTACTTTGTCAAATTTCACTGAATAAAAACTGACCTCTGATTTATGTGTATATAATGGATTTATAAATATAAATTTGGCAATGAATAATTTTGAAAAATTGTAAACATATGATTGCATGACTTTAACTTCTCAGTTCTGCCATGGCTATTTCTTTAAAAAAAGAAATAGCTTTGAGACCCTAATCAAAGCAGATACAAGTTTAAAGTTGTATGCTGTTGCGCATCATGTGAACTAAAAAATAAAATTACAAAGAGGAATAGATGGTGTTGCCATCATAAAAAAAAATTGGGATCGCCCGATCGATATCTGCCTACGGTTTTACACAACCATGTTTGAGTAGCCATTGGAAAATTATCAAAAATGGTGGCGAAACAAAGCTGGTATAAAAGAGGAAATTCGAAAATCATAGTGTTTCAAAAGACATAATCAAAAAGACTTTTATGGTTGTGAACATGTGCAAAAAAAGTTCCACAAAATCACTATATTTTTTTGATCAATTGTGATAAGGAACCGGTCATTGGGTTTGAAATAAGTCGTTGAATTTGAAGGATTTCCTATGTGTATCCTAATTCTGTTTGGGGTTCGTGGTCGAGGTGATGGAATTGATAAGAACTGATAATTTGGTCACAAGAGAAAAATTACTATTATATAAGAATTAAGATTTTGCCACTTTGTATGGATGGCCCCGACCAGGTTATAGACATTCGTAATATTATATTAATGTTTTGGAGCACGACAGGGAGCCGTGGTTTATTTGCAACTGAAATAGAAGAAAACAACAAACAAAACAAGAGGTTCCTTTTTTGTTAAATTATGAAAGATTAAATTAGATAACAACCTTGGCATAATTTTTACAGGTAGCAGCAAACCCCCGGCGATTTGACCCTATAGTAATACTTAGTTCTTGGACTTAAACATATAAAGATAAATATTTCAATCCCTTCATGTGTAGGCCTCGAACCATGGTATAATAAAAAGGTAAGCTAGAGCTACAAGCTGATTACAATTTTTTTCTAAGTGTGCCCGACTTTTGTCAATTTGTGTATATAAGTATTGTTTTGAAAACCAAAATAAAATATTTTCAAAATCAATGAATGGAAGAAACGTACATTGCAGGACGCTGGTTAAAGGTAATAACCATTTTTGTAATTTAATTGAAAGATTAAATAGTTCGAATCATATTTTGATAGAAAATTCAGACGTTTCATTCATCTTTCCCGCTTTTTAACTCGTTTTAAAAATGTACATTTGGCACTGAGGGGATAAACAATAAAAAATTGTAATCGTATGATACCAAGAGATTACCATGGTATACACTTTTTTAATATAAAATTTGACTTCAGGACAATGTGAACATATTTTTTTTTTTTTCTAAAATTAGAGAAAATCGCTGTTATACTCTACAAAACAACGATGTTCACAAACTTTTTCACGGTCAAGAAACAGCGACACCACATTAGGTAAAATATACTCGTATGTTCCATGTTTTCTAAAATTGAATAATGTAGAATAATTTATGTATGTATGCAGTTTGGTCTCAATTTGAACGGGATGTGGCTTTTCCACCATTTTCTAGATATTTTAAGAACTATTCTTCTACAATTTTAATTTAAAAATCTAAACTCCAAAAATTTACATTTTTGAAGTTAAAATAATTTATTGAAAATTAATTGTTTTGCTTAAATTTTTGGACATATAACTCTAACACATGTATTTCGTACAAAAACTACTTTATATGTGGTTTTGTTACATTTGTTGTACAACAACACTTACTGTTACCTGTATTATTCAACCATGGATAACAATTAAGGCGGGAATACATAAAGCGCTTATCTAGCTGGCTTCTTCGGAACTAAGTCAACATAAACCCCTTTGTTCATCTACGAAGAAGCCAGCCGGTGAATTAAGCCAGCCAGATAAGCGCTTTATGTATTCCCACCATTCTCAAATGGAAAATCTGAATATCGTACGTCATGTTATTTAGTAGATAATGTTGTGTATAGTTAATTAGAGTTAAAATAAACTTTTGTGGAATTTTTGTTAATATGGCAGTTTCCTAACTAGATCTTCAGCAAATTAATTGGAGAAGGATCCCAGAAGTCTATGGAAGGTGCGTAAATGGGGCAGCAGGAACATCCACTCTCCTTTGCCTGAGCAGCTGTTGTGTTTGTTTAATGTATAGTGTTTGTTATGTGTAAAGTTCCGATTTCGTGTTCGTCCTGAGGTGTTACAAAGTAGACGGTTGAGAACCAGACCCCGAGACCGCTAGCAGATCGATGGTCACTTTTAAGCTGCCAAACAGGATTATATAACAATTATTTTGGACCCATTATATGTAGCCATAATCAAAATCAAAATAACCTAATATTTTGGTCTATACCTTGCAAAATTTTCTATAGAGTTTTAAATTTGGTACAGTCCTATGTATTACATTTAGAATATAAGTCCTATCGTTCTACGTTTTTGTATAGAATCCATATAAAAGTATACCCCGATTTAAGTTTTTTTTTATTTTAGCCATATGTTTCAAATAAATTTTTGTCATTTGAATTTTTAGAAAGACGAAAATTTTCATTTCGGATTATTATAAGCATAGGCCCATAAGTATAGGTATATGGTATTATTTTCATAGTAAGCTATTCCCTGATTTCAGCTATTTCAATTGATCTAGCCCTTATTTGCCATCTTGGCTTTCAAGGAAGTAGAAAACCTCTTCTCTTTCAATGTAGGTCAAATTACAGCTAATGTGAACGGAAAATGTTGCTAAGATCTTTACAACACTGCGACGTTGCAGTGGGTGTTTAGCTTTTCAACGAACTGCCTTTGGAGGTTTAAGACATATAAGCAAAATGGTTGTATTGCGGACATATCGTATCTTTGGATTCATTTTTTTTTAAGATATTCCGCTCTATTATGTCCAAATCTTTTGCCCATTTGGAGAAATGGAGAACCATATCGGGAACCCGTATACAATAACAGACTTTATTGCTACTTCATAGAGGAGCAGTTTTGTTGTTTATGGTAAGTATTTACTGTTAAATAGTTATGAGGTGCTATGGGCATAAATCAAACAATCGTCAGCATAAAGCACTGCCTTTAAATGGGTAGTAACGTGAGGGAAATAATGTGGCGTTTTCCACTGCACTTTTTTCGTTCTCTATTCGTTGTTTGACCCTTAACCATGGTAGAAAAATACAGGTAGATGCATCAACGTTTGGGAACATTGATATGTCAAAAATTTTTAAATGTCTTTTCAAATATAAGAAGATTTTTATTTATTTTCTTATACGATGTCATTCGGAGGTTATTACAATACGCGTTTTTCAAAAATTTTGAAAAATTTAAATAATTTTTCATTCAACATTTTCAGTTTCAAAATTGGTTTGACAGTTTATTGTCCCAGCAGCTGTGTCGATGCGTCTACCTATATTCTTCTACCATGCCCTTAACTATGAAAAAACTACTTAATTCTTCATACAAAATTTCCAGAGCAAACACTCATATTTGTACATTGTTCAAATCAAATCACTCTCAGAACAACGAAAAAATATGTTCCATCCCTAACAAATGAGAGCATTTATCGAAAAAATAAATTATGACATTTAAAAGTTGGAAATAGAAAAATTTAATGAAATTTTAAAAAATTTGGGAAAACTGAAAATTATGAATGAAAACTACAATGTTGAATAGCGTATGTACATTCAAACGAAAGTAAATTTTGTTTTCTCTCTCATTCGAGGCAATCATTTTGTCCACGATTTGAAATTTCCACAGAAAACTGGAAACAAAAGAGTCAATATTTTCAAAATGTTTGTATCGGCAGAAAAAATGTTTGACAAGTGTCTCTCCAGCAGAACTCAAAAATAGAAAAATACAAAAATATGTTCAAAATGTCAACATTTACACAAAAAGTTTAAAACATGAATGAAAATTATAAAATTAATCATATAATAAATCTTTGGGAGAAAAACAATCATTTCTTCTATTCATATTAGTGAGAATTTAATGTATTTTGGTATAAATTCCCATTAAAATCAACAAACAAAATTTGAAAAAAAAGGAATTATTTTACTATGAATAACGAATCGTGCCGTATGAACGGGTTAATTCGTTTACCTAATTCTGGGAGCGAACAACGTTGTTCGGTTTCCAATGGAAACATGTTATAAGTAAGAAAAATATTGAACAGAAAAGGAGCCAGCACACTTCCTTGTGCGACTCCGCTGAGTACCAATCCATGTTCCGATGTAGTGCTGTTTATTGAACAAAAAACTTCCGGTCTGAGAGATTTTAATGAGAAAAGGATCCTCTCCCAAATTAATATATTTGTATATGATTCCCTTATGACAGGCAGAATCAAACGCTTTCTTGATATCCAAAGATATGGCTACTTAAATTTGACGTAATGTCACTTTAGAATTTGGAATTGATTCTAAAATTAAGCCAGTCAAAAAAAGCGTTTTATGCATTCTCACCTTAAAACTCTTTTTGACTGGCTTAAATAATCGGCTGGCTTCTTCGTAGAGGAACAAATGAGTTTTAGGTTGATATAGTTTAATTTTTTTCCGAAAAATCCTGCCGATGACTTAGCCAGTCAAAAAACATTTTATGTACTCTCACCTTTGGGCCAGTCAAAAAAAAACGAATTTTAGGTAACGCTTTAAAAATTGTACTACGATAACCTGTTTTTTCTTTGTGGAATCGAACAGATTGCAAAATTAGTAGATTTATTGCCGGCGTTTTGTTTATAATTCTAGGACTGAATGTTTATAATTCTGAGCCTGAATAGTCGACAACAAATATATTGACTACCTTAAAATCGAGTTTTATATTTCGATTTTTTGCTGCTTTAAGCCGATTTTTTCAAAATCGATTTGTAGAACCCTAGTCGCGCTTGGGCGCTTGGTTGTTGCAAAAGTAAAGGACAAAACATTTTCTCTGAATACCTATTTCTTTTTTGTGAGCATATTTAAATAACTAAATAATTAACATCAAATATTAAGATAAAAGAAAACGAGTGTTTGTAGAATTGTAAAGAAGAAGGGCAATTACACCAATAAAGCATAATGGTAAGCTGCCTGTCGTAGCTCGAATAACAGGAATAAAAAAGTATAATCGATTTTTTGCGAATGGTGTGTTTTAACCCTTGTTTTCGCTATACGCACGCAGTACAGTGAAAATATTTTTATCTATTTTATTTATTGATTCCGAAATTAAAGAACGATTTCCTATTTATTCTAGTCAAAGAAAATGTCTCGTTATCCCACTGATCGGAAGGTGTATGTTGGTGACTTAGGAAACAGTGCTCGCAAAAATGAATTGGAGTATGCATTTGGTGCCTACGGTCCATTGCGTAGTGTTTGGATAGCTCGTTCACCTCCAGGATTTGCATTTGTGGAATTTGAGGATGCTCGTGATGCAGCGGATGCAGTTAGAGGTTTAGACGGGCGGACAATTTGTGGCCGCCGTGCACGCGTCGAGCTATCTACCGGCAAAAGCACAAAACCGGGTCGAAGTGGGGGTAGTGGTGGTGGTGACCGCAGAGGAGTAGGTGTTCCTGATCGTTATGGTGGTGGAGGCGGCGGTGGACGTGGTATGGGAGGTGGTGGACGCAACGCCGGTGGTGTAGTTGGCGGTGCAGTTGGTGCTGAGAGTAAATGTTACGATTGCGGTGACCGAGGACATTATGCCCGGGACTGTCATCGCCATGGACGAAGCAGGAGACGGTAAGTACATAATGTTTTCTACCTTATTCGAGAGATCAATATTACAAGTAAAATATTAGGGCAGAACTCTAGAAATCTAGAAATTTAGATTTTCTAATTATTTTCTAGATAGGAATGTTTACATTGTTTTGGGAAAAGAACTCTAGTAAAACTTCGACTTTTTAAATGTTTTCTAGATAGGAATGCTTACGTAGTTTTAGGAATAGTGTTGGGATCCGACACGCTAGTGTTTAATTTGACCAGGAATTTGGATTATACGCAATTCCAACCAACCGAACCAATATAGTGATTAAATGATGGGTTATTTCAATCAATTCGTGATTTACAGCATAATACACTGAACTTATCAATTTGTTCTTCTTAATTTAGTCGATACAATAATACTAAATTTCTCTACATCAACTACTTTAACCAGTGCTGCAAACCACTTGTCGATTTGGGTTGGTTCGGTTTAGCGTTATGAGTAAATACAAATATATCCAAATCCAATATTAAGGTATAGGGACTTGTTTTTTATTTTGTATTGTTTGTGTAGATAATTGTAAACAAAAATGAAATGTACTCTGCTGTATGGCGTAAAATTGGAAAGGAAACAATACAACGCTTATTGCAAACATTTCATTCTTTATTTAATTCATGCTTAATACTAAAGCCTCCAAGGCCAGTTAATTGTACTTATAAGATACTTATAAATAACTATCACATTACATATAGGTCCACTAAGATAAATACCGTATTCATCGAGCGGAGATATAAACCACTCTGTTAACAGAGCCATTAACAGAGCAATGTTAAACTTAACAGAACATAGAGACAATTGTGTATTTTTTTAAATTTCTATTTTCTAATGTTTAGTCATCAAATAATTTTTTATGATAAACAATAACTATAACTTTAATCATAAAATTTACGAAAAGCTGTCTTGCTACGGGTACCCACTGACTTGTAGTTGCACAATATGTGACTGGACATTGGCATTATATAAACTACGTTTTAAAACAATTCTTCCAATACAAAATGCATATCAATGGAAAGCTTATGAAGAGTACTATCCATTGGCATAATAAAAATAAAAATTGTGGTCAATCGGACAGATTCCAAGCTATTTGGCCATTTCTGGAGAAATCCTTTGAACAGGAAAGTTCCATTGACCAATATGTCTTCCAGGACAATTCTTCCAATCCAATATGTACATCAATGGAAAGCTTATGAAGAGTACTATCCATTGGCATAATAAAAAAAATTGTGGTCAATCTGACAGATTCCGAGGCATTTGGCCATTTCTGGAGAAATCCTTTGAACAGGATAATTCCATTGTCCAATATGCCTTCATGACAATTCTTCACACACATCAATGGAAAGCTTATGAAGAGTACTCTCCATTTGCATAATAAAAATTGTGGGTCAATTCGACAGATTCCGAGGTATTTGGTCATTTCTGGAGAAATCCTTTGAACAGGATAATTCCATTGTCCAATATTCCTTCCACGACAATTCTTCCATTCCATCATGCACATCAATGAAAAGTTTATGAAGAGTACTATCCATTTGCATAATAAAAATTGTGTTGAAGTGTAGTGGATTTACTAAATTGAAGACTTTTTGTTATTGTGTTGTCGATTGACCCACAATTTTTAATATGCCAATGGATAGTACTCTTCATAAGCTTTCCATTGATATGCATTTTGTATTGGAAGAATTGTTGTAAAACGTAGTTTATCTAATGCCAATGTCCTGTCACATATTGTGCATCTACATGTTAGTGGGTACCCATAGCAAGACAGGTTTTCGTCAATTTTATGATTAAAGTTATAGTTATTGTTTATCATAAAAAAATATTTGATGACTAAACATTAGAAAATAGAAATTTAAAAAAAAAAAATACACAATTGTCTCTATGTTCTGTTAAGTTTAACGTTGCTCTGTAAACATAATAATTCGTGTCTCCGCTAAATAAATACGGTATTTATCGTAATGGATCTTCTTTAGGAATCCATATTTCTGAATATGTTAAGTATTTTCTCGGAATCCTGGTAGGATTAGGGAGCCAAGTACTTAATTGCGTTTTTTAATGAAAAATAATTGTATTATTATTTCATTATAGTTAGTAATACTTGTATTTTTCAAGCGTTCTAAATTTGCAAATGTAGTATGATGAATATGTTGATTTAAATTTATATTGACTTCAATTGAAAAGGAATGTTGCATTTTTCACGATTTCGTACCGATTCCTGGAATAATGTGAGCAATATAGTCATGCTCTTAAGTAGATACTAATAACAATAACAAACTCGATATACTATCATAGTACAATAAGGAGTTAGAACAAATTCGTCAAACTGCAGAAATACAGTCCTTAGGCTATGCCCGCTTCTTGTCAGAATAATTCAAAATTTTATGCAACAAGTTTTCATTTTTTTTACATTTTCCTTAATGTCTAAATTGAGTTAAAAAAAATGAGATGTCTGCATTTTGCATTGCCTAGACAAGCTGCTTATGTATCCATACCTTTAGAACCCTACATAATTTCTGACGTATACGTATTTACCGTGCGTCGGTTGTTAGTGGTACGTAAATTACGAATTTTAGGTAACGTTGTAATATGATTAATCTTTCTTTCATTCCAAGACACAGTATTTTTTTTAAGTTATTGATTTAATTTCATTATGAGTTGTGTTGCTTGGGGCAACCCCAATAGTTTCAAAACATATCAAAAAATTGTAAACTAAAATTGAAAAATGTCGAGAAAACATTTGAAGAATATGCAAAAAGAATGCGGCAGCAAAGTCTTGATGTGTTAAAACAGTTCATATGTTAATTCCCCATCATTCGCATAAAATTTTGGCGTAGTTTTTGTTCAAAATAATAGGTCTCTTCCTATCGTTCTTTTCTCGTTCTCTCGCATTCGTTTGTTACGAAATCCCAAAAATACAATGTTAAGAAAAAGCTTTCGTGTGTATGTCACTGACATAAAAAGCATTTGCTTCAAAAACCCCATGATAGAATAATGCAGGTAACAGCAAGTATTGTTGTACAACAATCGTAACAATAACCACATACAAATTCGTTCTTGTACGTAATACAAGTGTCAGAGTTATATGTCCAAAAATGTAAGGTCCTAATTTCCCAACACTACAAGCAACATCGCCTTCAAATTACATACACACATAAAATATTCTACATTTTCCAATTTTAGGAAACATGAAATACACGACTATATTATCTAAATTGACTGTTGCTTAACCACACAGTTGACGTTGGTGTTTTGCTAAGTACCACGGCGATTTTTTGTATTTTAAGGCAAAAAATATGTTCACATTGCCCTGCAGTGAAATTTTATATAAAAAAGTGTATACCTATTGCATATCTAGAAACGGAATTAAATCACAAACGCCATATAGAGTTTGACACTAGTATTACTATAGAGTCAAATCAGCTAGGGTTTGCTGCTACCTGTAATAATTATACAATGCAAAAACCCAAATATTTTTTCAGTCGATAAATCTCAACTAGTTTTATCTAACCAGTCACATTGCCCTGCAGTGAAATTTTATATAAAAAAGTGTATACCTATTGCATATCTAGAAACGGAATTAAATCGAAAACGCCATATAGAGTTTGACACTAGTATTACTATAGAGTCAAATCAGCTAGGGTTTGCTGCTACCTGTAATAATTATACAATGCAAAAACCCAAATATTTTTTCAGTCGATAAATCTCAACTAGTTTTATCTAACCAGTCGGTAAAATATATTTAAAAAAACTGTTTAAAAAAATGGTTGAAATGCCCAATTTAGATTTGACGGCTTTATAAAAAATTGACTCACAATCGAAATTGACTGAAACTACCAAACACGTCGCACGTTTTCATTTAGTTGAAATATTTGACAAGTTTCAACAGTATATTCTATTTCACAACAAGGTGTCGCTTTTATCGCTTAACAAAATGTCTACTCACACGTGTTTTGTGTGTGGCTGCTTTCATTTTAGATTTTCTACGAAAGCGCGTGGACTTGTAATTTTGTGTGTTCCATGCTGCTTGTTCTACAAAAATTGTTTAAAAATTTGATTTAATTGAAAAAGTGATAAACGCTTGTACATTAAAATACACGTATAATGTTTGTTTTATACGAAACTCCGGCGGGTTACGCCATATTCAAGTTGTTAGATGAAAAGAAGGTGCAAGAAGTGGATAACCTCTATTTAGAATTTCAATCGCCTGAAAAAGCAAACAAGTTACTCAAACTAAAACACTTTGAGAAGTTTAATGATACCACCGAGGCTCTGGCAGCTGCTACTGCAGCCGTGGAAGGTAAAGTGTCGAAACCATTGAAGAAAACTCTTAAGAAGTTGTTGAACGACGAAGTGCAGGAATCATTGTTGGTGGCCGATGCAAAATTGGGCAATGCAATCAAAGAAAAGTTCTCTGTTCAATGTGTATACAATACTGGAGTTCAAGAGTTGATGAGATGTATACGACAACAAGCGGATAGTTTGTTGGGTGGTTTGCCAAAGAAGGAGATGACTGCCATGGCTTTGGGTTTGGCTCACAGTTTGTCGCGTTACAAGTTGAAGTTCTCACCTGATAAAATTGACACGATGATTGTGCAGGCACAATGTTTGCTTGATGACCTTGATAAGGAACTGAACAACTATATGATGAGAGCCAGGGAGTGGTACGGTTGGCATTTTCCTGAATTGGGCAAAATCATTACCGATAACATTGCTTTTGTAAAAACTATTAAATTGGTTGGCACAAGAGAAAATATGGCTAACACGGACTTGTCCGACATCCTACCCGAAGAAGTTGAAGAAAAGGTCAAAGAAGCTGCAGAAATTTCGATGGGTACAGAGATTTCGGAAGAAGATATTATGAATATTCAGTGCTTGTGCGATGAAATTTTATCTATTAACGACTACAGGTCACACTTATATGATTACCTTAAGACACGTATGATGGCCATGGCCCCTAATCTAACAGTTTTAGTAGGAGAAACTGTCGGCGCCCGTTTAATTGCCCATGCCGGCTCTTTGATTAATTTGGCTAAGCATCCATCTTCTACAGTACAAATTTTGGGCGCTGAAAAAGCATTATTCCGAGCTCTTAAAACTAAAAAGGATACGCCTAAGTACGGTTTAATATTTCACGCCCAATTAGTTGGTCAAGCTAGTTTGAAAAACAAAGGAAAAATGTCACGATCTTTGGCTGCTAAAGCGTCATTGGCTACACGTGTTGATGCTTTTGGTGAAGAAGCCACGTTTGAACTAGGCGCTAGTCATAAAGTTAAGTTGGAGGCCCGCTTAAGACTTTTGGAAGAAGGAAACTTGCGTAAACTTTCTGGCACTGGCAAAGCCAAAGCTAAATTTGAAAAATACCAAGCTAAAAGGTTTGTATATACAGAAATCTTATTTGATTACTCATCTCTCTGTGATGATATTCCAATGGTTTCGCAATCATCCGATTCATTTCAAAATGATGATAAAACCTTGGCTGTCTGAAATCAGATGATAGTTTATCAAATCGATTTTTCATAAGTTGGATATCGTTTAACAATTTTCCTATGTTTGTAGTGAGGTCTTCACATACCAGCCTGAGGCAGATAGCACATTGTCAGCAAAAAAAAGGAAACATTCGGAATCAGGAACTGCAGAGTTTTCTACTCCTCTAAAGGCTCCAAAAGTTTCAGAAGAGGATGAAGAGAATATGGCCACAGTAGAAGAATCTACAGAGGAAGTTAAATCTGAGAAGAAAAAGAAGAAGAAGAAAAACAAGAACAAGGACCAGGACCAGGAAGCACCCCAGGAAACAGAAGTAGATGTAGAAACACCCACGCCGTCAAAGAAGAAAAAGTCCAAAAAAGAAAAAGAACAGTCTGACGACTAGTTTTTTAAGGTTTTAGACCTCTATAGTTTTGTTAGCCATTATATAATTCAAATAGACTTATGATTGTATGCTCCTACCTTAGATTTAAGATTTTCAAGTGAGTTTTTCATTCTTTTCTGTACATTAGATTAATGTATTAATATATTCTTGTTTTACAAGAGTGTACAAATTACAAAACAATAGAATGCAAAATTTAAAGAAATTAACTGTCGTTTTATTTTGTTTTGTTTGAAAGGTTAATATAAAATTTATTTTGAATTAAGCAATATATTTTAAAGGCAGCTAACAGCGTTTCAAAATATACATTATGGTAATGTTCTGCAATCGATAAGGTACTGCACACAACCATATGTATTACCGGAGCACAACGGGAATCGTATGGCACCTCAGTCGGACCATTAGAAAAACGTAATGTGTTGAATTAAAATTCAAATGGCATTTCCAATTTAAATGAAACCTTTTGCAATAGAAATGGAACGTTTTTAAACGGAAATAAAACTTTTGCAATTGAAATGATTTTTTTTTCAACGGAAATAAAACTTTTTCAAACCAAATAAAGCTTAAAATAAAGAATAAATCAACTAACTATTGTGTTAGCAATTTAAAAAGGCATTTTTATTAATCATGCTTTTTTAAATTTACTTTCACTGTAACTGTATCCAAGCGTATTCACATTGGGTTTCTATAATAAAAAATAAATTTCTTTGAGAGTTGTGCTTCTTTTGGCAAACCCAATATATTCAACATTTATCAAGAAATTATAAAATAAAGCTGAATACACATACAATTTAATCGTGATTCTGCAACAAACAGTAAAATTCTGTCAAAAACGATAGGTCTCTTCTTATTGTAATGTAAGCCACACACGATGCAACCATTGGTACAACTTAGACAGTAGCATTTTTCGAACAGTTTATTTGATTTCTAATGACAACGCAAATAATTTCTTTATCACAATTGACTCTCCAGCTTTTATTAAAACCTTTTAATTTTATATGCATTCAAAATTTTATTTACGAATATATTTTGGCTAAAAAAAAAGAAATTTAAAAAATTAAAAAAAATATATATTGCACTACTTTAATGCGTAAATAAACAAAACCACTAGAAAAGCAGTAACATGACATGCATACACGAAGGGTTTGTCCTTCGGATTTATTTATTTCAAAGCAAATACCAAGTATGCAGGAAATTGCAATCTTTTGAAGTTGAGTGACATTTCTATTGCAATTAGTGAATTCGAGGTATTTCAAATTAATTGTGTAGTTTTTTTCTGTTAGCCTAAGGCGTTGTGGGTCAATGGTTCTTATTAAAATCACATCCCAATCTGATCCGATTTAATATAATTTTAAAAAATTTACTTTTACACCAAATTCCGCCACACCTTTCATAATTCATTAAAATTGGTGCGTCAAATATGTGATATCTGCCGAGAATATATATATGGGAGCTATATCCAAATCTGAACTAATTTCCAATTAATTTGTTACATTTATTATTGTAACCAAATTCAGCCACACATTCTGTATTTCATTGGAATCGGTAATATATATCGTGTTTGGTGCATAACATGTATGAAATCGGCCGAAATATGTATGATAGCTATACCCAAACCTCAACTGAATTCAATATAATTTGACAATTTTTTTCTGGTGCCAGATTTCGTCTCTCTCGCTTTGGGTGCATCAAATATCTGAAATCGGCCGAGAATATATATGGAAGCTATAATCAAATCTGAGCCAATTTGAATATAATTTGTCAAATTTATTTTTCTACCAAATTTAGTCGCTCATGCCGAATTTCATTGGAATCGGAAATACGTATCGTGTTTGGTGCATCAAATAAACGAAATCGGTTGAATATCGGTTGAAAATATATATAGGAGCTATATCCACATCTGAACCGATTTGAATATAATTTGACAAATGTATATTCGTTTTAATTTCTGCTACACATTCCAAATTTCATTGAAATTAGAGATACATAGCGCGTTTGGTGCATCAAATACATAAAATCGGTCGAAAATATATATGGGAGCTATATCCAAATCTGAACCGATTTCAATATAATTTGAGAAATCAATTTTTTAGATAAAATCTATCACACGTTTCAAATTTCATTGAAATTGGGGATACATAGCGTGTTTGGTGCATCAAATGCTTGTAATCGGCCGAAAATATATATGGGAGCTATATCCAAATCTGAACCGATTTCAATATAATTTGGCAAATTTATTTTCGTTCCAAATTCCGTTACGCATTCCAAATGTGGAGACTGTATCTGTAATCGATCAATAGATATGTGCATATAAAATCTAATTTTTAGGAGGAACCACAGATTTTGATGCTATATCCCCAGTTCCAAGAGGAATTTCAAAAATGTATATAGCCTATGTTACTTTCAGGCGATGTTGCAGTATACATGGAAATTTTCAGGAAAATCTGTTCAACGGTTTTCGAGTCCATAAATTACAAACAAACAAACATACAAACATTTTCGTCTTTTATAGATATAGATTCCATTTTTCTTCAACCAACCAACAAACAATCCAGACTTGATTACAACACCTCCAAGTTGTACAACCATTTGTATCGTATGTTCCTTGTTTGTACACAGTTTGTATATGTGTGTGTATTGTTCTGAATAATAAAGAAATCTATTTGAAACTGTCGCCTGAATGCAATTTTTTCTTTTGATAATCTTGTAATGTCGAAACTTATACAATTTTTGTATAATTTAGAACATTTTCAAATTTCGATGATTTTTTTTGCATTTTTAAGGAGAAAAACAATTGTGATCGTATTAGTCGTCGTTCGATAAAATGCTGTGAGAAAGTAGTCAAATAAAAAACAACTTGTTTGAAGTTACAAGGCTCTAGTTTCAGGGTTGTGTTTTCCAAATTTACAACATATAGTGATAAAGGTATTATGTATTTGTGCATTTGCTTGTAACATGGAGAAGGAAACGAGATAGACCCATAGTTCCTTTTGGTGATCGGCATAGAATCACATTTTGAGTCGATTTATGCATGTCCGTCCGTCTGTCCATTTATTTTTGTGCAGGTCGCATTTATTATTCGATTGAGATAAAATTTTCTAAATAACATTTGTTTGACTCAAGGACTAACCCTATTGAAATTGCTGAAAATCGGTCAAAATTTAGGTATAGCTCCCATATATATCTTCGTCCGATTTTATGTTTCTTATGGACCAATTGGCTAATATCAGTCCAAATGGTGTGAATTTTGCTACATCCTACCGAATTCAGCCTACAAGCATGTGCATTAAATTTAGTGAAAATCAGTTCAGATATAGCTATAGCTCCCATATATATATGTTTCATCCGTTTTGGTGTTTAAGTCCCTTACATTCGTTATATGCACCAGTTTAGCACCAGATATCAGATACAGCCTAGAAATTCATACATCAAATTTTATCAAGTTCTGTTCAGATTTGGATGTAGCTTCCATATATATCTTTATCCGATTTTAGGTCCCTCACATTCGTAAAATACACCCCACAAAAATGATATTTGATTCAAATTTTATCAAGATCGGTTCAGAATTGGATATAGCTCCCCTATATATCTTCGTCCGATTTTAGGTTTCTTGTGCACCAAATAGCTAATTTCAGCCCAAAGTCAGTGAAATGTTGCACTTCTAAGCGAATTCATTCAAGAAGTTAATACTAAACATTTGGAGAAAAACGCTTCAGATATAGCTATAACTCGCATATATATGTTTCATCCGATTTTGGTGTTTAAGTCTCTTACATTCGTAATATACACCTCATAAAAATGATATTTTGTACCAGATATTAGATTCAGCCATGATTAAAATTTAATCAAGATCGGATCAGATTTGGATATAGTTTCCCTATATTTCTTCGTCCGATTTTAGGTTTATTGTGCACCCAATGGCTAATATTAGTTTCGCACTTCAATTTAGCATAGAAACAAGAATTTCAAATTTGCTCCCATATTTATGTTTCATCAGATTTGGTGTTTAAATCTCCAACTTTCGGAATATGCTGTCTACCATAATCATATTTTGTACCAGATATCTCATAGAGCTCAAAAATGCCCAATATAAAACTTTATTTTACGAGAATTCTACTAAATATGCAATGTGGTGTAGGGTATCATATAGTCGACCGCGCCCGACTTTTGAGCTTTCCTTACTGGTTGTAAGTATTTTTGGACATCGTTCCAATTTGCTGCCACCAAAGTTATTATAATACCAAAACTATGCTGTCACTGTGATGTGGTAGTTTTTTATTTCATTAACAAAAATTGTTGCTTGGTGTGTGTGTGAAACCTTAACAGCACTTTTGGTAGTCATGTCGAAATGTTCGTAGCACAGCAGAACAATGCTTGCGGTATTTATTGTTGATGACTGTAACAGTTAACTGTGATTAAAGAATTGTAATGTTGAATTTTCTTCAGCGCAGGGTAGCCATACTCTTCATATTTGCATAAACAGAGTAAATCTCGAAGACACTGTTTTTGGATTAATATAAATACAAATAGATTTGAAAATTAAACCCGATGAATGGAGTTAATTTTTTAACTTTGTCAACCAAAAATTTGTGAACATTGGTAGTAATGATGGTGTCATGGTAGTCTAATGCAATCATGCGACAAAAAATGTTTATATTTCAATTCCCCTTAATTGTAAAAATTATATTTTGTTGTTATGACTAAGATATAGACGATCATGTGTAAAGATACAATCATTTCTAATTATGTATTTTATCTTTTGCAAACCACATTCTTTCATTTTTATACCCTCCACCATACTATGGGGGGTATATTAATTTTGTCATTCCGTTTGTAGCTACTCGAAATACTCATGTCAGACCCAACAAAGTATATATATTCTTGATCAGCGTAAAATTCTAAGACGATTTAGCCATGTCCGTCTGTGTGTCTGTCTGTCTGTCTGCCTGTCTGTTGTAATCACGCTATCTTTCGAACAAATTGAGATAGAAGGCTAAAATTTTGCACACATGTATATTTTGCCAGTAGGCAGGTTAAGTTCGTAAATGGGCCAATAGGTCCAATTTATCATATAGCCCCCATATAACGCTACCTCCCGATATTCGGTATTTTGATGATTTTAGCGACATTATTCACCGAAATTGTTTCCAATTTGGCATTTGAAGTTCATAATGGATACTACAGCCTAAGACAGAAAATTATCTGTGCAGGTCCACGTCTTCGTGTAGCCCCCATATAACGGTACCCCCGATATTCGGTATTTTGATGATTTTAGCGACATTATTTATATTGGTATTTGAAGTTCGTAATAGATACTGCAGCATAAAACAGAAAATGGGCCATATAGGTCCACGTCTTCATATAGTCCCCATATGCCGTACCCCCCGATATTCGGTATTTTGATGATTTTAGCGACATTATTTACCGGGATTGTTTCAAATTTCGCATGTGAAGTTCATAATGGATACTTCAGCCCATGCCAGAAAATTGTCTGTGCAGGTTCACGTCTTCGTATAGCCCCCATATAACGGTACCCCCCCATATTCGGTATTTCGATGATTTTAGCTACATTATAAACAGATTTTTCTTCAAGTTTCGCATTTAAATATTGTATTAACTTATGACAAAAGTTGCCTATGCAGGCCCACGTCGTCGTATAAGCATTCGGTATTTTTAAGATTTTAACAGAATTTTTATTTTATTTTTTTGGAAATTGCCAAAATTGTACCAAATGGTGGAGGGTATTAAAAGTTCGGCCCGGCCGAACTTATAGCTTTTTAACTCGTTGAAGTTTTTTTACCTCATGGTGGAAGGTATTAAAAGTTCGGCTCGGCCAAACTTAGCCGTTGATCCTTTTATTTGATCCGAACATACACAAACTGGGTATACACAGGCTGTGTGTGAAAGAATAAGCTGGGATTTATTTTTATAAATCCCACGTTTATTGCTGTTTACTGTGAAAACTTCGTTTTTAAAAATCCAACGTTTATTGCTGTTTACTTTTAAAACTTCGTGTGTGTTGCTTTTTCGGAATACCCAACATCCAAAATGACTTGAGAATAATATTAAAATAAGCTTAAGAACACGAGCCTTAAGCTTATGTTTAACAAATATAGAATAATCCAAATTGAACCCTTATTTATAAGCTTTTACTTGTAATTGTAGAATAAGCTTGCGAAAGTAATATATTAAGCGTATTCTTTTAATGGTATAAAATATTTATTTGTTAATTTTTTTAATAATTTTACACATTTTATTCATTGACGACCATCCCAGCTGTCACTGCCTCCTGTTGCCTTGATTTCTAGACGCTTTCTTTTCCCTTATTTGAGTTTCTGCATCTCCTCCACTACACTTCTATTGAATTCTTGGCTCTTTGGCGCCTCTATTCTGAAATGACCACAGATTCCTAGATTTTTTATTCACCATTACCTTAAGAGTTTCGTCCGGTAATGGGTTCTAATTTCGCGTGATTTAGTTTTTTACCAAATGAAAACTATTTTTGGCTGATAATTTTCACAAAAACATCAAAACAGATTTGAGAAAAGTTTGTGCAACGTAACTGTTTCTCAAACATTTTTAAAAAATTGTTATGTTAACTATCTTTATAATATTATTCTCTAGCTGTATTGAATTTTTGGTATGTTGGGTACATTGTGTGTTTGATGAGTGTTGTTTTTAATAAATATGTAAAAATGTTTAATATGATAATGTGAAATTATTAATTATAATGTAAATTATTATTATAATATATGCTGGAAAATCCTACTTTTTGGGCGGCTTCATAAACAATAGGTAAATTTGAAAATAAAAAATTAAATTTTCGTAAAATAAAAAAAAGATTGCTTCTCATATAAATTCTTATTTTGTGAAATAAAGTAGTAATTTTATTTCTACCACTGTAGGCTCGAATGTATGACATACATTCAATCAGAATTGAAAAAACAAGTTGAGTCAAGCGATTTTTTTATTTTGTACTAAAGATTCATATTTAAATTCTAAAAACAGATATAGATTTTTATTTTTATATTTTAGTTCAAAAAAAATTAATAAAACACGTCAAGTACGATAAAAAAAAGGTTCAGAAAAAGGTTTTTTCTAATTAGACCTTTATCGTTTTGCTGTGGATTGTGTAGAAATAACAAGCCTAACTAACAGCCGACTTAGCGCACACAAATGTTCATCTTCCCCACCAAATATCTAACTACAAAACATCTAAAACTCCATCTAGACTGTAACCATAAAATATCGAAATAAGGCTGCTACCAATATATTTGCGTATGGGCACTTCCTTATTCACAACTATAGTTACATATTCACTAAGAAAAATTCTCCACAAAAGTTTAATATGACGCGTTACCTAAAATTCGACGTACTTTTGGTCGACTTTTTTACCACACAAGTAAATCACATGTATTTATATGAGATTTACCATGGTAGTATAATACAAGTAATAGCAAGTCTTGTTGTACAACAAACGTAACAACAACATGATGTCCATATCATAGTTATATGTCCAAAAATGTAAGCAAAATAATTTTTAATGAATTATTTTAATTTCGGAAATTCAAAATTTTGGAATTTAAATTACTTAATTTAAAATGTAGAAGAATAGTTCTTAAAAAACTCATTATAATGCTTTCATATCAATCCCATGAATGTATAGTTGTTAGCTGTAGTAGATTCTTGCAGGTGGATTCTGTAGTAGATTTTTGCATGTACTGGAACAAAACATATATTATCTATCAGCGTAAAATTCTAAGACGATTTGGCCATGTCCGTCTGTCTGTTGTAATCACGCTATCTTTCGAACGTATTGAGATAGAAGGCTAAAATTTTGCACACATGTCTATTTTGCCAGTAGGCAGGTTAAGTTCGTAAATGGGCTATGTAGGTCCACGTTTTCATATAGCCCCCATATAACGGTACCTCCCGATATTCGGTATTTTGATGATTTTAGCGACATTTTCACCGGAATTGTTTCATATTTGGCATCGAAATGGATACTACAGCCTGAGGCAGAAAATTGTCTATGCAGGTCCACGTCTTCGTATAGTCCCCATATAACGGTACCTACCAATATTCAGTATTTTGATGATTTTAGCGTCATTATTCACCGTAGTAGTTCCAAATTACGTATTTAGAGTTCGTAATGGCCTATGCAGGTCCAGGTCTTCGTATAGGCCCCATATATCAGTACCTCCTTATATTCGGTATTTTGACGATTTAGTTACAATACTCACCGAAATTCTTTGAGATGTCATATTTGAAGTTCGTAATGGAAGCTACAGCCTGTGACAGAAAATTGTCTATGCAGGTCCAGGTCTTCGTATAGCTCCTATATAACGATACCTCCCTACGTACGGTATTTTGATGATTTTGGCTACATTATTCACCGTTTATTTCAAGTTTCGAATTTGAATATGGTAATGGCTTGTGACAAACAATGCCTATGTAGGTGCACGTCGTACCGTCCCTAATATAACGGCTATATTCGGTATTCTTAAAATGTTAACAGAATTTTTGGCGAATGTTATCTTTTTCGAAAATTTTCAAATTTGTTCTAAATGGTGGAGGGTATTCAAAGTTCGGCACGGCCGAACTTACTGTTTTTTTAATTGTTTAAAATGCTCTCTAGACCTATGAGACATAATACGATTGTGATTTGTGATGTGTGTGTGTTAAGAATATACGTTTCTAGATGCGTACCATGGATTAAGTAGTCGTCTGAATATTCATACCCCATTCAACATTATATTTTCCAGTCTTTCTGGAATTTTTTAAAATTTCAATAAATTGAAGAAATAAATATGCAAAAAATGCAAATTTTTCGATAAATGCTTTCATTTTTTAGGTATGGGAAATATTTTATCGTTGTTCTGAGAGTGATTTGAATTGAACATGGTACAAATATGAGTTTTCCCTCAGAAAATGTTGTGTGAAGAATTAAGTTGTTTTTCCGTAGTTAAGGGTCAAATAGAGAGCGAAGCAAATGTACACATGTATAAGCACCATGCCGCCATAAATTCGATAAATCTTTTATCTTTATTATCTTTTAATAATCATATTGTATCGATGGTTAATAAAGCTAATGGTGTTTTAGGATTCATAAAATGGTGGGCTAAAGAATTCTCTGATCTGTATGTTACAAACAATTATTTGTATCATTTGTTCGACCTATACTCGAATATGCTTCAGTCGTATGGAATTCTTATTATGCCATCTATTCCGATAAAATTAAATCGGTGTAAAAACAATTTCTGCTTTTTGCGCTGAGAGATTTTCATTGGAACAGTGGCTTTGCATTACCGCCCTATACTAGCAGACTAAAATTAATTCGATTACCTACATTAAAAAGTTGACGCATGTTCAATACCATAATCTTAAATGGCAACGTGCCTTCGGACTCCCTTATTACTTCTTTCGGAAATCATATCCCATTTAGATTAAGCAGGTATTATAATTTTTTAAATATTGATTTTCACCGAACTAATTACTCTATGGGTGAACCTATAAGTAGAATGTGTTTAGACTTAAATTCAGGGTATGATATCGTAGATTTTGGTACTGGTATTGACATAATAAAATCTAAAATAATTTTTTCCACCGGCTGATGCAATATTTTCTGTAGCTGGTATTTCAATGCCTACTAATGTCCGACCATGGTACGGATCATGATGAGTACGCGATCCTTATACATAAACACGCTTAGCTATCTACATGTGGTAAGCAAACATGCTGCACTTGCTTATCAGTCTGAGTAAAGATTACATCCCGTGTTGTAATTCCAACATGCACTATTATAACTTTTACTAAATTTTTAATTAATTTTTTGGACATATTTTCTATTTTTAATTCTTTTTACAGTCATTCACGAAGCCGTTCCCGCAGTGTATCCCGAGGTAGGCGATCTCATTCCAGATCAGCATCACGCTCTCGCAGCCGTTCTGTTTCAGGAACAAGAGAAACTTCACGCAAGGCTAGAGAGGCTTATGGTCGATCACGAGAAAATGGACGTGAGAATGGCGAATCAGCTTATAGGTATAGCGAAGAAGAACGCAATGGCGGCGGAGCGATTGCCGATTCACCATCACCAAAGCGACGATACGAACATGATTCTCCATCTCCTAAACGCATTACTCATTCAAAACGCAGCCGCACCGAATCCTCTCGCAGACATGGCGGAGGAGGTGGTTCTTCCATCTCACGTTCGCGTTCTAATTCCCATAGAGATTAGCAATTATTGAGCAAAAATCAAGTAGCAGCATATATAAAGTGAACATATACATAATACATTTAATTTCTCTCATGATTTCCAAAATTAATTCATTTACCTAATTACACCTTATAAATAGCTGCTAAAATGTTTAGAAATTTAGGGATTAGATGTTAATTTACAAGACACTCTTAAAATACTAAATCAAGTCTACGAAATGACACTGTCTGAAAGTCTCAACATTTTATTATGACAGTATTCAATCGTAAAATACCACAAATTGCAAACACTTTTTATTTAATAAATTTTGTATAATTTTTATATACGTTTATTGCTAAATTATTTTTTTATATTCTTTCGACAAAGCTGTTGGATATTCAGATCTATTTTTCTGGATGTACATTGTGGAATACGGGAAAAACAGCAGCCTTGGCCAAAATAAATGAAATGAAAAAATCAATCTCCATACATACACACTTTAGTTCACATCATGAAATTAAGCTGGAATCGTTTCACATAACAAAAAAAATAGTATTTGAATTATGGAATTCCTGCAATTTTATTTAACATTTCCTCTTTTTTCATTCCTTCTTTCGTTCGAATTAATTGGATTTTTCCAAAATTATTTTGTATCATGACTTTTGTAGGCTAGTGATAACATTTCCATTTAAAATAATGAATGTTAACATTGGGCTTATTTAACATAAGGAGCCATCTTTCAAAAGATTAATTTTTCCATTGATTTAGATTTTACACTTTCCCAATTTTCTTCAAATTCCATAACTAAAATTTACGTATAGAAATACAAGAAATTAAAGAACCTGAAACATATTTTCTTTGACCATATATCTAAAAGCGACAGTTAAATATTACAATTATTATTATGATTTTTAACAAACTTCACCCCCATCAACAAGTCAGTCAACTATAAATATTATGTAATTTTGATTTGATATAAAGTGTAACCATTAAGCATAATTTCTATCAATAAACGTTTAATTAAAAATGATTTTCTTGTCTTTTTTATTTTTGCGCGGGATCCACATTAGATTTATGCTAGACAATTTTAATTACTGTAATTTTAAATTGAAAATATGAATAAGCATATCTAGATCTAGGGCAAAATGGCATTGCATTCAATATCGGAAAAATTTCGATCGAGACTAATGCTGTATGCACATTTCAAATTGGTAAAAAATGAAAATTTTGGTAAAAAAAAACTGGTGTTAAAATCTAACATTCTGTATATAGTTCCTCCTAGCGATATTTTCAATATGCAGGTCCACGTCTTCGTATAGTCCCCATATAACGGTACCTAACCAATATTCAGTATTTTGATGATTTTAGCGTCATTATTCACCGTAGTAGTTCCAAATTACGTATTTAGAGTTCGTAATGGGAACTACAGTCCGTGACAAAAAATTGCCTATGCAGGCCCAGGTTTTCGTATAGGTCCCATATATCAGTACCTCCTTATATTCGGTATTTTGACGATTTTAGGTACAATACTCACCGAAATTGTTTCAGATGTCGTATTTAAAGTTCGTAATGGAAGCTGCAGCCTGTGACAGAAAATTGTCTACACAGGTCCAGGTCTTCGTATAGCTCCTATATAATGGTACCTCCCTACGTACGGTATTTTGATGATTTTGGCTACATTATTCACCGTTTATTTCAAGTTTCGAATTTGAATATGGTAATGGCTTGTGACAAACAATGCCTATGTAGGTGCACGTCGTACCGGCCCTAATATAACGGCTATATTCGGTATTTTTAAAATGTTAACAGAATTTTTGGCGAATGTTATCTTTTTCGAAAATTTTCCAATTCGTTCTAAATGGTGGAGGGTATTCAAAGTTCGGCACGGCCGAACTTACTGCTTTTTTAATTGTTTGAAATGCTCTCTAGGCCTATGAGATATACACCTAAGTCTGTTTTTACACGGTAGATTGGTTCCAGAAGAAGCCGTGTAAAAAAAACCGTTGAAAAAGACATTGATCTTATACAAAAATGGGTGATTTGTTCCTAATCTCTAAGACCTATTAAAATTAGTGAAAAACAAGAATTTTTATTTTTTTCTTTACCAAACACGTCTTATTGCATTAACAGTTCACAAAATATTAACACGTTTCAATTGCTCTGACCAGTAAATTTTATTGTATGCACATAGTGCTATTCACATTTGCTTTGACCAGTAAAAATTGTTTGTACGCGCTAAAGGGGAATTCACTTAAATCTTTAAGCTAGTGTTCGCAAACTATCGATGGTTTCAGACTTTTTTCTTTCATAAATACTTTTTTGTGATATGAACATACTTTGCAAAAATTAAATTTGACAAAAAAATTTAAGTACATAAAATTTCAAATCGTGCTAAATGGAATAAAATCGTGTAAATAAATTAAAATATTCAATTTTCAAACCGTGTTATATCAAAAACGTGTACAAAAAGACCGTGTAAAAACAGACTTAGGTGTAATACTATTGTGATTTGTAATGTGTGTGTTAAGAAAATACGTGAGTTATAATTCTTGTTTGTTTCTAGATGCGTACCATGGATTAAGCAGTCGTCTGAATACCCCGTCTGAATATATATATATATATATATATATATATATATATATATATATATATATATATATATATATATATATATATATATATATATATATATGCATATTTTCGATAAATGCTTTCATTTTTTAGGGATGGGAAATATTTTATCGTTGTTCTGAGAGTGATTTGAATTGAACATGGTTAAAATATGAGTTTTCCCTCAGAAAATGTTGTGTGAAGAATTAAGTTGTTTTTCCGTAGTTAAGGGTCAAATAGAGAGCGAAGCAAATGTACACATGTATAAGCACCATACCGCCATAAATTCGATAAATCTTTTATCTTTATTATCTTTTAATAATCATATTATATCGATGGTTAATAAAGCTAATGGTGTTTTAGGATTCATAAAATGGTGGGCTAAAGAATTCTCTGATCCGTATGTTACAAACAATTATTTGTATCATTTGTTCGGCCTATACTAGAATATGCTTCAGTCGTATGGAATTCTTATTATGCCATCTATTCCGATAAAATTAAATCGGTGTAAAAACTATTTCTGCTTTTTGCGCTGAGAGATTTTCATTGGAACAGTGGCTTTGCATTACCGCCCTATACTAGCAGACTAAAATTAATTCGATTACCTACATTAAAAAGTTGACGCATGTTCAATACCATAATCTTAAATGGCAACGTGATATTGATTTTCACCGAACTAATTACTTTACGGGTGAACCTATAAGTAGAATGTGTTTAGACTTAAATTCTTGGTATGATATCGTAGATTTTGGTACTGGTATTGACATAATAAAATCTAAAATAATTTTTTCCACCGGCTGATGCAATATTTTCTGTAGCTGGTATTTCAATTCCTACTAATTTCCGACCATGGTACGGATCATGATGAGTACGCGATCCTTATACATAAACACGCTTAGCTATCTACATGTGGTAAGCAAACATGCTGCACTTGCTTATCAGTCTGAGTAAAGATTACATCCCGTGTTGTAATTCCAACATGCACTATTATAACTTTTACTAAATTTTTAATTAATTTTTTGGACATATTTTCTATTTTTAATTCTTTTTACAGTCATTCACGAAGCCGTTCCCGCAGTGTATCCCGAGGTAGGCGATCTCATTCCAGATCAGCATCACGCTCTCGCAGCCGTTCTGTTTCAGGAACAAGAGAAACTTCACGCAAGGCTAGAGAGGCTTATGGTCGATCACGAGAAAATGGACGTGAGAATGGCGAATCAGCTTATAGGTATAGCGAAAAAGAACCATCACCAAAGCGACGATACGAACATGATTCTCCATCTCCTAAACGCATTACTCATTCAAAGCGCAGCCGCACCGAATCCTCTAGCAGACATGGCAGAGGAGGTGGTTCTTTCATCTCACGTTCGCGTTCTAATTCCCATAGAGATTAGCAATTATTGAGCAAAAATCAAGTAGCAGCATATATAAAGTGAACATATACATAATACATTTAATTTCTCTCATGATTTCCAAAATTAATTCATTTACCTAATTACACCTTATAAATAGCTGCTAAAATGTTTAGAAATTTAGGGATTAGATGTTAATTTACAAGACACTCTTAAAATACTAAATCAAGTCTACGAAATGACACTGTCTGAAAGTCTCAACATTTTATTATGACAGTATTCATATATATATCTCTTCTTTATATATATAAAAATCAATTGTTGTTTGTTGGTAACGGAATCAGTTGGAAACGGTTGGACTGATTTGCATAATTTTTTGTACAAACGTTCGTCATACCCCGAGTTAGGTTTTTAAAGAAAAAAATATTGACCACGCCTCCTTTTACGCCCACTATTACGATATATTTGCCAAAATAGTGAAGTTATCGGTTTGAGAATTATTACACGAGATGCTGTTGGCTTTCCATCCAACCCTAAGTACTTATTTAGGGGCTGAGGAACGCGCCTACTTTTAAATCTATCTCTCTATATGTAAAAGAAAGTTGTGTTAGTTACTACTCTTATAACATAAAGACCGCCGGTCTGATTTTAACGATTTAGGAAAATTCGGAATTGCCTCTTGGCAGAAAAGAATAAAATCCAAAAAATCGCGTAAAAATGTGAAATTTGAACATTTTCATTTTGACTTTAAAACGTACAATAGTAATGTTTTATATTGCATATTTTTTCCATTTTGACTTACTATTTTCGAATGTACATTTGTAGTGTTTTTTTTGGAATTCTAATATGATGTGTAGGTTTTTTTTGGGTAGTATAAAGCCACAACGGATAAAACTGTTATTTATAGATTTCATGTATTTATTCGTAATACCCAATAAATACATAAAATCTATAAATAACAATTTTATTCGTTGTCGCTATGAAAATTCTAAAATCGAGAAAAATCGACAATTTTTCAATGAAATCGAATTTCAAAACATTCTACCGACAAATTTCGTAAGGACCTTTAAAAATTTGCCGCAAAAAAAATCAGCGAACCAGTTGAAGAATCTTTTTCTTTTTTCTATATTGAAGTGTACATTTTTTTATTGGTTTGAATTCTGAATGAATAATATTAAAAATGAAATGAGGGCGCAATACGATGTTAAATGCTTTCTACTCCAGGACCTACATCGTGCTTCAGCTGGAAGATGCGAACACATTTAAACAAATAAAAATGACCAAAGAAGCGTTATGGGGATAATTTCAAAAAGTGGACCTACTTCTTTCAATAAATTGTCAAATGAGAACACAAAATGCAAAATACATTGGGACTGCAATCAGTCAAATACCGACTATAAAGAACGCAAAATAGAAATTCTACATAAACATTCAAGATACCTTTAATAGCTTTGCCAGGTCATGATATGGATCATAACCCCTGATAACGGAACAACCCGATTTCAAGTATATTCTACATTTTAACCATATTTTTCGTACTAATTTTAGCTTATGTTGATAATTTAAGAAGAAACCATCTTTGCAAAAAATTATCACGTTTTGGTATCACCATCATATGATTTAAGATATTTTCGGGGTCTTGGTCACTTTTTTCATTTTTTGGCCCTTACTTGACATCTTTGTTTCTAAGGGGGAAGAAAACCTCTTCTTATAAATTTTTATTTTTCGGAAAAGCGACATCTTAGTCTTGAGGCTACCTGGGGTAAAAAACCCTGGGGTGGAAAATCATCTTACAGATAATTATCCTCATAGGAATTTATTTAAGTATAGTCCCCACATTAGTATACCCCCAAGTCCACTTTCCCAACCAATGTGTGGTCAGAAAAGAAAATTTGGTATTCTATTGAATTTGTAACCCCAAGAGAATATTGGTTGGGAACGTAGATTTGGGATGTACGTCAAATGCTTTCATTTTTTAGGGATGGGAAATATTTTATCGTTGTTCTGAGAGTGATTTGAATTGAACATGGTACAAATATGAGTTTTCCCTCAGAAAATGTTGTGTGAAGAATTAAGTTGTTTTTCCGTAGTTAAGGGTCAAATAGAGAGCGAAGCAAATGTACACATGCATAAGCACCATACCGCCATAAATTCGATTAATCTTTTATCTTTATTATCTTTTAATAATCATATTATATCGATAGGATTCATAAAACGGCGGGCTAAAGAATTCTCTGATCCGTATGTTACAAACAATTATTTGTATCACTTGTTCGGCCTATACTAGAATATGCTTCAGTCGTATTGAATTCTATTATGCCAATCTATTCCGATAAAATTAAATCGGTGTAAAAACTATTTCTGCTTTTTGCGCTGAGAGATTTTCATTGGAACAGTGGCTTTGCATTACCGCCCTATACTAGCAGACTAAAATTAATTCGATTACCTAAATTAAAAAGTTGACGTATGTTCAATACCATAATGGCGTATAAAATCTTAAATGGCAACGTGCCTTCGGACTCCCTTATTACTTCTTTCAGAAATCATATCCCATTTACATTAAGCAGGTATTATCATTTTTTAAATATTGATTTTCACCGAACTAATTACTCTATGGGTGAACCCATAAGTAGAATGTGTTTAGACTTAAATTCTTGGTATGATATCGTAGATTTTGGTACTGGTATTGACATAATAAAATCTAAAATAATTTTTTCCACCAGCTGATGAAATATTTTCTGTAGCTGGAATTTCAATGCCTACTAAAGCAAACATGCTGGACTTGCTTATCAGTCTGAGTAAAGATTACATCCCGTGTTGTAATTCCAACATACATTATTATAATAACTTTTACTAAATTTTTAATTAATTTTTTGGACATATTTTCTATTTTTAATTCTTTTTACAGTCATTCACCAAGCCGTTCCCGCAGTGTATCCCGAGGTAGGCGATCTCATTCCAGATCAGCATCACGCTCTCGCAGCCGTTCTGTTTCAGGAACAAGAGAAACTTCACGCAGGGCTAGAGAGGCTTATGGTCGATCACGAGAAAATGGACGTGAGAATGGCGAATCAGCTTATAGGTATAGCGAAGAAGAACGCAATGGCGGCGGAGCGATTGCCGATTCACCATCACCATAGCGACGATACGAACATGATTCTCCATCTCCTAAACGCATTACTCATTCAAAACGCAGCCGCACCGAATCCTCTCGCAGACATGGCGGAGGAGGTGGTTCTTCCATCTCACGTTCGCGTTCTAATTCCCATAGCAATTATTGAGCAAAAATCAAGTAGCAGCATATATAAAGTGAACATATAAATAATACATTTAATTTCTCTCATGATTTCATGATTAAAAATGTTTAGAAATTTAGAGATTAGATGTTAATTTACAAGACACTCTTAAAATACTAAATCAAGTCTACGAAATGACACTGTCTGAAAGTCTCAACATTTTATTATGACAGTATTCAATCGTAAAATACCACAAATTGCAAACAATTTTTATTTAATAAATTTTGTATAATTTTTATATACGTTTGTTGCTAAATTATTTTTTTATATTCTTTCGACAAAGCTGTTGGATATTCAGATCTATTTTTCTGGATGTACATTGTGGAATACGGGAAAAGAAAATCTGGAATCGTTTCACATAACAAAAAAAAAAATAGTATTTGAATTATGGTATTTCTGCAATTTTATTTATTTATTTATTGTACGAGGGCTTTATGTAAATGAGAACAAATGTATAATTTTAGTAACATCAGAATAATATAAAAGATTGTGCAAAATTTGAAAGACGCATATTAAATTTTGTGATTTCTTTCGTAATGGCAAATGGTGAACGGAGAGGATTACGGACATAATGTAATTAATGGGGTCCCTAACTTTTATAAACCGATGAAACTTTATTTATGATACTTAAATTAAAGTCATATTGCCAGGATTTCAATTTAGAAATTAGTATCGATTCTGAAGTCCAAAACTCCAAATTGACCAGATATGGAAATAATCAATCCAATGGGAACTCATGCAAAATTCATTGGAACTACAATCAGTGAAATACCAAATATAAAGAGGCACTGTAATATGCGTACTATACACAATATAGGAACAATTGTATAGGAACATGCTTTGGTATAACTCTTATATGATCAATATTTCGGAGTATTGACATGTTTGCGATGAGTATTTATTTCTATGGAACAACTCTAGTTTGGTAAAAACTCTTTGATATTTTTTTTTCGAAATTTTTCCCAGAGGTAGGTTTTTTTATCCTCATTCCGGGAAACTATTTTTTTTCTTGGGGGACGGACCCGGAACCCAAGATTTTTGACCCGAAAATCCGGGTTCAAGACCCGGCCAGGACACGGCCCCTATTACCCGATATAGACAATATAGAAAAAAAAATAGAAAAAATGTGTAATTCCAACGACGGCTACGCGAAATAAACCTTTTTTTTTACTGAAAACATAATTTTGATAAACTGGTTAGAATCGGGTTATGCGGATGGAAAGACCCATATCTCTGGACACATTTTAGCATTTTGGAAATGTAAGAGTGTCAGCTTTAATTTGGCATCAATTTTGTTGGCCCCCATAATGGGCCCTTTTTGGACTTTTTTAGGGGTTTTATAAAAAATCAGGGTCAAAAAAATCGATAATTTGACTATAACTTCCGTGACCAGTTACCCACTTGTTGGATAGGTATTTTCATAAGCTTTCCAACGATACCTACCCCGGGATAAGGGTAAAAACACCTACCACTGGAAAAATTTCCGAAAAAATTTAAGAGTTTTTACTAAACTAGAGTTAAGCCATTTCTATTTAGTCATCATTTATACTAAAAATAGTGCCAGATCTGTGAATTATTATGCTTTATCTATCTATATATATAAAAATCAATTGTTGTTTGTTGGTAACGGAATCAGTTGAAAACGGCTGGACCGATTTGCATAATTTTTTGTACAAACGTTCGTCATACCCCGAGTTAGGTTTTTAAAGAAAAAAATATTGTCTATCTTAATTTATCTAAAATCTTTATATTTGCCAGATAATGAAGATATCGGTATGAAAATTATTACACGAGATACTCTTGACTTCCCTCCAACCCTAGGGATTTACTTGGGGGCTGAGGAACTGACAACGCGTACTTCTAATCTATGTATATATATAAAATAAAGTTGTGATAGATACTACGCTTATAACTCAAGAACCGCTGATCTGATTTTAACGATTTACACAAATTCGGAATTGTCTCTT